GGCTTCACCTAGCGTCGTTGCTAGGCAACAGCCAGTGCGCAACTTTTGCCGTCGCCATGTTGTGTACCAAACTCATCTTGGCCCGGCTCTACCTCCACATCAAAATAACCGGCCGTAGCATTTTGAGCATTTTGATTACCTATTATTAGATGGCAGAAAAGGTAACAATTCTATAGGTTTATTGGCCTCAGTTGAGATAATTCGAAATAAAGTGCCTATTTCGAATTTATATTTTCTGGTTATATTATCTTCCTCATTATTATTTAAGAATTTAATGATTTGTTTACATTCCCCGTCCCGAGTCTGTGCGAGAGTAAGCCAGTTTTTGTAATTATTAGAAGTTAAATCGACGTGAGCAATAGTTTCACTGGATTTCTGCTAAGAAAGTCAACATGTGATATTTCGGAGCCTTTTCGGTAGATTATTTGAAATTTAAAGTCTTGCATGTATGCTCACCTGCGCGCGGTGCATGGTTTTAAATCTTTTTTGCTAGCAGAGAGTTTAAGAGATTTGCAATCAGTAACCAAGGTGAATTTTAAGCCAAGCAAATACACTCGAAATTTCTTTGGAGCTCTAACAATAGTCAGAGTCTCAAGTTCAAAGGAATGATAAACCACTTCCTCGAGGGATATTATTTGACTGAAATATTCAACCGGGCAAAAAGTGTCACTATGTTTCTTTAACAAGATACCACCAAAACCGACGCTACTGGCGTCTGTTATACATGTTTGGTTGTGTATTCAAAAGGTAATACCTATGTCTTTTAATATGTTAAATTTATACAATTTACATCGCAGTTTATTTACAATGTGTTCTATATGTAGATTCCACTTTAGTTGAGAGTCGATAATAATTCCTAAATATTTAATTTGTTTTACAGGAGCAATCAAAAAAGATTCATGCTCACTATCCACATTAATATTAAAATTAGGTAAATCAGATGTTATCCATATAATCCCGGCACTTTTACAAAAGGGTCAGGAAGTACTGGAGGGACCACTGTGTAAACTATTTCGAGCTAGCATAGCCCTCGAATATATAAGTTCTGGGAGACATTGATAGATTGATACAGGACGATGTTCTACGGGATAAACGGATAAATCGATACCAGTTTACCTACCAATCTAGAAAGTCTTGCAATGCAGCCATACATAGGCTAACTCAAAAGGCTGAACAAGCATTGAAAAGCAAAGAAAGAGCACTAGGAGCCTTTGATTCAGCGTAGTACAATTCGATACTGAGATCTATGCATAGCGTATTACGCAGTGAATTGAGTTCATGCTTAACCATAGAACCATTACCAGTAATATCTTTAATATAACAGAAGTAGTCTCAGTTAACAAGGGATGTTCAGAGGGAGGAGTCTTATCTCCTTATCTGGACTTTGGTAATTGATAACCTCTTATGGGAGTAAGAGAGAGAAAACCTCTATACACAAACATATGCAGACAATGTAAACATCGTAGTAAGCGGTAAATTTGGAGCTGTTGTTTTCGAAAGGATGCAGCAGGTACTACATATCGTCGAAAGATGGCGCTTAAAAGAGAGGTTGTCCACAAACCCGAATAAAACCTCTATTTCTGCATTCATAAAAAGAAGGATCCTTTAAGGAATTAAGAAGTTTCATATGCGAAGACAGCATCTAAAAACGGCAAAGAAAGTTAAATATCTTGAAATCACTCTTGATTATAAGCTTAGCTTCTGCAGCCATATAGAAAAAAAAAACAGAAAAGCTGTAAAAACACTGTGGGCCTGTCGACGGATGGTAGGAAACACGTTGGGACTCAAACCAAGTACGATGCACTGGCTTTATACCATGGTTGTAGTACCCGTTATTACTTACACATCAGTCATATGGTGGCATAAGGCTAAAAGCGTAACAGTTAGCAGAAAATTAGATAAGGTACAAAGACTGCCCTGTCTAATAACAACAGAAGCATTTAGACATAGTGGAGAAGGAGGCGGTGGCGGTGGTTCACTAAATGGATTTGGGAAAGAACTTTCGGAAAAAAGACACCATATATTAACATTACAGAAACGGTATTAAGAATGCGATCGGATAAGACACCTACTATTCATGACTTTAGAAAACCTTTAGATATTCAAATAGCAGAAAGGGACAAAAGCCGGGAAAATAGGGAAATACAAAACAAATCAATTTGGTATACAGACGGCTAGAAAAACAGCACAGGGCTAGGATTTACCATGTGAACTCAAGGAGGTCCATTAGTCTGAACCTGGGGTCACTTACAGTCTTCCAAGCTAAAGTAACCGCAATAAATGTATGTGCTAAAGTTATACTAAATGACTCTTTTAGAGATAAGAGGGTCTTTATTATGACAGACAGACAGGCACTGAACAGGAAAGAAGTACAATCGAAATTAATATTTGATTGCCAACAGTCCCCCCGGGCCCTGGCAGAATATAACAAGGTCACTCTTGAATGGGTGCCGGGACATAAGAGAGTGTTGGTAAACAAAAAATTAAACCTCCTAATAAAAAAGAAAGCTGAGAAAATTTTAATTGGACTAGAACCCATATGTGGTATTTCATATCAACATGTTAAATGGGTGCTCTGGTGGAACTTCCTGGACTTAGTCCAAAATATTCATAGAGGGTCAATCTAAGAGTAGACAAAATCAACTGCTAAACCTCAGTAGAAGCGAACTAAAGACCATAATAGGACTCTTTACGGTATATTGCGGCCTTACAAGACACCTAGGGATATCTGACGACTACCTATATAAAATATATGAAGAGAAGGACGAAACCCCGATTCATCTACTATGTCATTGCCGGAACCTTAAATGGGAACGGGAATGGCACTTCAGGGTACAATATCTGGAACCTGAAGAAATCGCGAAAGCGCCCACCAGACTTATTCTTGAATTGATCAAGAATATTAACCTGATGGGGTAGAAACTGTGAGGGTACAATAAGCCAAGATCTTCAGTAAGATTGGGCTTTGAACTACGCCCTAATTCAGATAGATAGATAAATAGATGGTGAGTTATTTGATTATTCATTAAACAACTATATGTTTTATATTTTTAATAGGTCAACTGTTTTTTAGACTAACCGCGTCAAATGTGAATGCATTGTAAAACCCGCAATTATTTTTACAAATATACAGATACTTACCATAAAACATAAACATGAACAACCAAAACCAAGTCTATATGGTGTTATATATTCTTCGTAAAAAATTATACATGTGAAAACGTAGTTAGTAATTTCAACAGTTATTAACAGAATTTGCACACCATATATTTTACTCATTGATTTTGCACTTTGCAACACTTCAATTAATTTCAAAATGCATTCATTTATATCTTTAAAATAAAAATCTATATTTCTTTGCTTTTTGTTTAAGGTGTGTAATTTTATTTTTATAAGTTTTATTCTTCTTATCAAACCATTTGTTAAATAATTAAATATAAAAGAAGTCATCATAGTATAGAGCAGATTACAAAAATATCCAAGATGAGTAGCTGTAAAGTATATTAGGTCCAATTCATTAAAAGGCAAGTGTATCCCAAATACAATTGCCATGACAAAAATTGAGGTTACCGAATAAAAAACAATTCTATCTCTATGAAAACTTCGATCTTTATAAACTTTAATTGTATCCAATATAATTTCCCACTCATCTGGGTAAATCTGAACGCATATCACTTGAGAAAGGGACAAAATTATATTTATACTTCTCCTTAGTATATATTCGGAAATTACACCTTTCGAAACACCCTCTGATGTAAATGCAAAAATTTGAACTGCAATAGTGACTGTGTATGCAAACAATGGTACACATGCGGCTAAAAAAAATTTCGCCAAAAAGAATTTTGGTTTTGTTGAATTTTTTACGTTTCTTGGAAATACGTAAAATAATTTTGATATTTGGTAAAGTTCTGGCAACATAATTTTTTTATTTGACCAATTTGACATTGTGCGTTTCGTATGCTATCGTGGTTCCAAATAAAAAAATACTTTGTGTTTCTTATAGGAAAAAAATTGGATTGACTATCTAGATTGGATTGACCATAACAAAACACTTATTATTAATAAAATAAATATGTTTTTTTACTAGTAAGTAGTTGATTAAATATGCATTAAAGATAAGAGTATTAAAAAAACAGCCATTTCAATGAGGTACTTTCTCTATTTATTCAATTTATTTAACATACTTTAATTTAACTCAATCTGAATAATTCCCTCTGAATATGTAAATAAAAATATAAAATTACAGATTAAAAACAATTATTGTAATTCAACAAAGAATGAACAAAGAGATATTTAAGATGGTAAAACCTCCGAGCAATTACTACTAGAGAGTCTTCCCCCCTTTTTCAACATCTACTCCCCCTAAGAGGGGAAATCCCTCTCCTGTAATTGATAAACTGGCAAATGAAGCGGTCGATCGTCTTAAAAGGGCCAATAATATAATCATTCGTGGCATTTCTGTATCTGTCTGCATCTACTTAGCGTCATCCATCACTTCAACATACTCTGTCACCGCCTTAGATAACAACATTCCCAATATAGATTTAAATTCGTTAAAACTATCATACAAATATTTCTCAACCACTCTGATATGTTTATATCGTCCTCCAAAGAAAACTTCTCTAGAAAACGACCAACAGCTTTTTGAGGTACTTTCAAACCTATCTATTTCCCATGACAATCTTGAGGTAGTTGGGGATTTCAACTATCCAGAAATTTCCTGGCCCCTTACTGCAGGTCTTGAAGTATCGCAAAACTCTGTTTCACACTTTATAAATTTTATTATAGCCTCCAATCTTGAACAACTTATAAACGAACCTACCCGCTTTCGCTTAAATCAAGAACCTTCAACTCTAGACCTTATATTAACAAATGACGACCAACTTCTAATTTCTCCATCTGTCCACTCACCTATTGGGAAATTAATATGCAATTTAACTTAGAAACTCCTAATCCCTATGGAGACGTAACCTATAGTGTCACAAACTTTAATAACGTAAAGAGAATCCTCTCCGAAATTAATTGGAATCACTTTTTTAGAAGTACTGTATTAGTAGAAGATATGTGTACACTATTTCATACAAAGATATCTGAAATTGTGAAGGCTAACACAAAAAACAAAAAATGTCCTCAGAACAAATTAAAACAACTAAAAGACATGATGATTTTGTTAACCATCGACGTTTCGCAAACGATTTAAGCAATGTTATTGATAACGCAAGAAGAGAATACGAAGAATATATCGCTAGTAGCGATAACCCTAAGAAGCTATTTAAACACATAAGATGCTCTCTATCTTCTAAAGTATCAGTACCACTTCTTAAAAAAACGGATGGAAACTTATGTAATAATGATCAAGAAACAGCTGAAGCTCTGGCCAACCATTTTTCACAAGTGTTTTCCTTAGAACCCACAGGCGACATCCCAGTTAGTCACGATGCCCGAACAGCAACCTCTTTATGTAATGTCGAGTTCTCACCTGCAATTGTTAATGAAAATCTCAAAAAAATCAAATCAAATTCCTCACCTGGAATCGACAATTTATCCGCAATGCTTTTAAAAGAATATCTTCTTTGGCTTTACCTCTATCCATTATTATGACATCTTCTTTTACATCTCACACACTTCATTCAATGTGAACAATTGCTTCGGTGACATATATTTTTAAAAAGGGTGACAAACTCAGTCCATCCAACTATCATCCAACTATCGTCCAATAAGCCTCGTCCCAATTGCCTGTAAAATAATGGAATCCATCTTAACCAATTATATGTCTGATTTTTTAAGAGCCATGACGTCTTGCCAAAAGAACAACACGGTTTATTGCTCTATGAATGGTCTTATATTGATATTTAGCCGTTTCTACAAAAAGAAATCAGTGAAAATGGTTTATTACACATTTGTTTTATTATTATATTATTATATATATTATATATTATTATAATAATATTATGGCAAGAAGTTGTAAGAAGGTAAAGACATACCACTTTCATTCGGAATGGGAAGAACAATACTTTTTTTACAGAAGTTAAAGATAAAAATGTGTGTTTGTTATGTAATACTTCGGTCTCCGTTGCTAAAAAAGGAAATATTGAGAGACATCATAAAACTGTACATTCTAATTTTGAAAAATCATTCCCACTACATTCTGCCGCCAGAAACGAGAAACTGAAACAGTTAAAAAAGCAGTTAATTGGACAACAATCAATATTTTTAAGAACAGTCGACAAAAATAAGGCTGCAACTGAAGCATCGTACCGTGCACAAAAAAAGAAACCTTATGAAGACGGGGAAATGATAAAACAGGCGTTTTTATAAGCTGCTGATTCGTTATTTGCCAACTTTAGAAATAAAGACGTTTGATAGTTTCTACTATAAAATCTATGCAACTTTCTAATACAGTGATGAGACGTGTAGAAGTAATGAGCAATGATATTTTTTTACAGTTAAGAACTGACTTAGATAACTGTGTTTATTTTTCACTTCAACTGGATGAATCAACAAATGTCGTTGACACTGCCCAGATGGCCGTGTTCGTCAGGATGGTTTTTAGTGATTTTACGATTAAAGAAGATCTTTTGAAGTTTATTCCACTAAAAGGACACACTACTGGACAGGAGGTATTTTCTCATTTAAAAAATATTATTTCTTTCGAGAAAATTCCAATATCGAAAATGGTAGGCTTGACAACCGATGGCGCTCCAGCTATGGTGGGTTGTGATAAGGGTCTGGTGGCATTATGTCGTAAAGATGAAACTTTTCCGCAATTTCTCTGTTACCACTGCATTATCCATCAGCAAGCATTATGTGGAAATTTCCTGAAACTAAACAACGTTATGAAACTGGTGGTAAAAATTGTGAACAAGATTGGAGCTCAAGCGTTACAAAGAAGATTATTCAAAACCTTGGCCGATGAAGTTGACTGTCAATATGGGGACCTACTCCTTCACTCTGAAGTCCGATGGTTAAGTAGAGGACGGGTGCTGAAACGTTTTAATGATGTCCTATCTGGCATAGTTCAATTTTTCAAACAACGCGATAAACCGACTCCGAAACTAGAAAATTCAATCTGGCTTAGAGATTTTGGTTTTCTCGTGGACATTACAGAGAAATTAAACGAACTTAATTTGCAGCTTCAGGGGAGAGACAAAGAACTAGCGGAAATGATTTCTGATATAAAAGCATTTATCAAAAAGCTGGAGTTTTGGGAACAAAACCTAATTAACAGCGATGCCAAGCATTTTCCTATTCTTTCAGAAAAAATATCTCAAAATCCATTAGAATCCTATGACAGCAAATATCATGTAGAAATAGTTTCTACCCTGAAGAGTAACTTCAAGAATCGTCTTAAGGATTTTAACGAAATGGCTTTAGTAGCGCAGTTTGTTGTTTCACCTTTTATGGAAATTGATATCCAACAGTTTGCAACTTGTGTTATGCAGAACTTTGGCGAAGACATCGCTGCAACAGAAATGGAAGTAATTGAGTTTCAAAATTATTTAGCCTTAAAATCGTTAGTCTCAAGTACCAAATGTATCTGGCCTATTGTAAGTAAAGACAAATATTCAGTTCTATGCCGTGTTGCCTTGAAAGTGAAAGCATTATTCAGTTCAACCTATTTGTGTGAATCTTCTTTTTCCAATATGAAGTTTATTAAGAACAAATATCGCAATCGACTTACAGATGAACATTTGGATAATTGTATTCGAATGGCTGTATCAAATTATACTGCAAACATTAAAAAAATTATCGATGAGTCTGAGTGTCAGCCTTCTCATTGAACGTGCTTTTTTATTTTTCAATGTTTATGTTCATGATAGTGCGTTACTTTTTTGTTGTTATTATTAATTTAAATCTTACGTAACATGCCGTTGTCGCTGGATAAAAGTTTGTGTTTATTTTTCAAACACCTTCGTTTGGTAGGTAGGAATGTAGCTATGAACAAGTACGTACAAGTAATATTAGTTATTTTGTTATTAGTTTATTATTAGTACCTATGTATTATGTATTACCAGTTAAATAGTAAAATAAATACATATAATGATAAATTAACTGTGGATTATTTCATTTACGTTGCGTTACGTGGCTTCCGTGTGGGTAGCTCGTTGTTTATTCCAAAATTAACAAATTAACATTGAGAGGTTGGCGACCACTGCTCTAGCAAATTCTGTGATGGGACTGATCTTATAAAATAAACAATTAAAACATTTTAGTTCTTATTTTATTTGCCAATAAAAGTTATTTAAAAAATATATTTTTTATTTGACATCTGTGGCAAATTGTGAAAATGATTAAACTCACAATAAAAACTGAAAAAATGGTAGGTAAAGTTTCTTATAATATTTTTACACAAAAATCAATGTCAAGCTTTATATATTTAAAAATAATCTCAAATTATGAAGAAAAGTCAGTTTACTAACTAATAATGTTTATAGATGGTTTTCAACGTATTAAAAACAAAACAAATATTAAAATATTACACTAACTAAAATTCATTTATTAATAGTTTTAGTGCTTGAAAACAGTATGATGTTGATAATAATAACTACAATTAATACAAACTCAAACAATAAAAAACCAGCGATATTAGCTCTTGTACAAAGTTTTGAACCGAAAACCAAACTTACAAATGATAAAATTATTGGAAAACGTGAACACCCATTTTAAATTAAAACCAGCCGCCACTGCTAAAAACCCAAACCATTTTCTAGTTCAGTGACAATAAAAACGTTACTAAAACTGGTTTAGCCAAAAGAAATCTAAATGAAATAATTTTTTTAACAATCCGTGACTGACTCATCTAAAGATATTAAGAACTCATAAAAGATGGGCCAGTCGTAATATATTTTTATCTTTAAAGGAAATACTTTCATTTTTATAAATACGGCCTAATGGAGACACGAGAGTTATTCATGTCAAATGTTAAAGGTACCATTTCGGTAGGCGCGACAGACGACCGCCGACGCGACATACGACCGCCGACGCGACATACGACCGCCGACGCGACCGAGAAGTGTCGCTTCACATCTAAAATACATACAATTATATGAAACGCATTTCGCACGGCGCGACACGAGAAGTGTCGTCAAGACGACACGAGAAGTGTCGTCAAGACGACACTTCCTGGAGACAGTTCTGAATCTGCCTCGGGGCAAAAGTTTGCTGCATGTTGCACTCGGGGTTACTGTCCTCGATCATCGGTTTATTTTGAGTGTGATTAGGATGGAAATTTCTTTCGATCTAGACAGCGTTGCCAGATTTTGGAACAGTATGGGAAAAAAACCGTAGATTTGAACAGTAGATTTTAATACAGGAGGAAATAATTATAATTTGCAGTGTAGTAAATAAAAAAAAAACAAATAATTATATAAAAAACGAAAAATAAATTTTTATTATATACTTAACGTCAGGAAACAAAAAAAAAACTAATGAAAAATAATAGGTATTTCTTTCAGATCAGTCTGAATCAAATAATTCAAATAAGTACATGCATATTCTTTTTATGTTGTCCTATTAATTCTTTGTTGCAGTTTAAATAAAAACAAACTTACAATAGTGGCTGCTTATTACGCTGCTTTTACTGCAGAAAATTTACTAGAGAAAATATTATTTAACCATTTGCTGAAGAATGAGGCAAACTTAATAAATTAAGAACAAAATTTGCTAGATACAAAAACAGTAGATCTACGTGAAAACAGTAGGTCTGGCAACGCTGATTGTTCCCTCGAATGGTTATCCCTGTAAATGTCGCGCGACACTTCTCAAGCTTGCGAAATGTAGGAAGCGTAACATTTATGCATCTGTCTTCCTACTAGACCTTGGGGTCGCTTCAGTGGTCGCTTGTCTCCTGACGCGCCTACCCAAATGGTATCTTAAAAGTGACAACATTGTAGGTTACTCCCAAGAGATTCAGATAAGGTTAATTACAACAAAGTGTTAGAAAACTGATTTTTCTACGTTTAATAATCCATAAGGATTGACTTTATTCCGTTATGCCGCGTTTGAGAATCCACATCGGATGCATCTGAGATGTAGTAAATCTTTGATCACGTGATTCAGTATACGTAAATGTAATGGGACAGATGTGTCCGATGTGGATAAAAAAACGCTCGAGATGTAAAAAATGCATCCGATGTGGATTCTCAAACGCGGCAATAATAACAAAAAATGCACCGCGGAAACCTCAATCAATTTGTACTTGTAAAATCTATGAAAAGAATGGATGCATGTCGTAAAAATTATATAATTAATTAATGTTAACTCAATGTCCAGATTAAACAAAAAAAAATCACTTACATGGATTACATCGCGCCAGTATTGGTTCTAATAAGATTCGAGGTGTAATGTACTCATGATCCCTGATTTGTCCCTGATGAGTGAACTCAAAAATGTCTTCCTAATTTTTATTGTAATAATTGTCATATTGTCCTCTGTAACTAGAATTGCATGTAAGGCAGTGTAAAATTAAATAAAAACACATGAACATTACAAATAACCTTACATTACAAACAAAATGTCCAAACAGAACCCACGTCTCGAAGGGACTCTTTCCGAGTTTCTTTTTCCTTTTCTCTTATTAAAACCTTCCTATTTAATTTTAATGTATTATCTTTGAATTCATAATTTGTTTCAGAGCACTGACGTCGACGAATTCGACAAACGTTGGGAGTTCATTTCCGGTTTCAGCGGAAGCTACAGCAACATCATAGTGACCGCCAACAAAGCCGCGTTATGGACAGACGGCAGATTTTCTTTACAAGCAGACGAAGAAATTGACTGTCATTGGCTGCTATTTAAAGAAGGGCGAAAAAAAATTAAAACAATGTCTCAGTGGTTGAGACAAGAATTGCCGAAGGGTGGACGATTAGGGATCAATCCGAAATTAGTTTCGGAGCACATGTGGAACAGACTTTCCAGTGAACTCAGGGGATCTGGGATTGAATTGGTGGGGTTAAATGTCAGTTTGGTTGATGTAATTTGGCCTGATGATTTTAGAAAAGCCAGGAGAAGCAAAGAAGCGTTTATCTTGGACGTTACATACACTGGTAATTTTAATAACAACTTTTCATTGCAGTGATGCTATGTTTTTAAAAGACTCTTATGTACTCCGTCTCTCTTTATTCAACAGTATCTATAATAAAGGACCTTAACGTGCAGCAATGTCATTGATAATTTAAAATAATCGATTATTTTCGATCAATCCATTATTTTAAATCTATTTTCTTTTCGTATTTCCTTTAAAATCGATTATTCGATTGTCTTTGAAAAATCGAAAATAATCGATTAATTAAAAACCGAATTGTTAATTAATTAAAATAATCAATTATTTTTTATTATTTTTAATCAATCGATTATTTTAATTATTCTATTTTCTTTTTTTACTTCCTTTATTTTATTATCTTTGAAAAAGACTTTACAGCGGTTCTTCCTTTCACTATTAGTTCAAGACTGTTTCGGTTCCAATGTGTCGCAGTTTTTCATGAGTCCATCTTGTAATAAGTTTACTGTATGGATGCTTTGGATCTAAAATGCACGGAAATTTTTCTTTGTCGATGTTTTCTGCCATATTTGTTCTTCCTCCCAAAGCTAATATTCCATTTTCCAACTGGGGACAAAGATTTCTGAGTCGACTTTGAATACTTACAGCTTTTCCTTGTAACTGTCTATTTTCTTTACCAAGACTTTGAAGATGACTTTCTTTTATCCACAAACTTTCTGCTTTCTGAAGCTCTTCGACTGAAAGTTCCTTCGGAAGTCGTTTCGTCCCTTAATTTTTGAAATAAGTCTTTGGCACCATGCTGTATTTCGAAATAGTCTCAACCAGTTAGAAAACCTCGATATATCTGGAAGATAATTTCCTTTCTCAGAAACTGTTAGGTATCTCAGGCATTTCACGATCTTCGGTAGGACAAAACTCTTCTGCTTCTCTAAGAAATTCATGTCCTTGAAACCAAACATCTGAATTTAACTTGTTGGAATAAAATTTTGATCTGGTAGCTTTATTAGCAGGTTTTTGCTGGGTAGGTACCCACCTCTAGTCTTCAATATTTGTCCTCTTCTGAATTTCGCCAATTCAGTGAGAAACAAATTGTCTGTAGTTCCTGCTGTCATTTCGTATCCACGACAGCACACATCTGGAAGTCAGGCCAGAAATATACCTGATGGATGAGTATTTCTAATTCACTTTTTAGTACTTCGGCTAACCTACCAGCCATAACGGCTACTTGAAGTTCCAGTCGCGGAATGGAAATTACTTTTAAATGAAATACTCCAACCACCGGAGGTTACTATCACAGTAAGTGTGCAATTCTATCCTTGTAGATGAAGGTATTTCAAAGCTGTAGCATCTCGGAATTCGTGGCTTCGTGGCTGTAGAATTCAAATAATCATCAACATAACATTTCCTTAAAATGGCTTCCTTAAACTTTGGGTCATTAACGGTTTATATAGCACAAACTGTGCGCAAACGGGCGAGCACGTGGCACCAAAGGTTATAACCGTCACTTCGTAGTTCTCTGGTTTTCCATTGAGGTCTAGGTCTCGCCAAAGGACTCTCTGTACTTGCCTATCTGATCCTTGGATCCTGACTTGGTGAAAAATCTCTTTCACATCTCCACAAAATACAAACCTGTACTGTCTAAACTTCCACAGGATAGCTACTAGAGAATTCAACAAATCGGGACCAGCTAGTAAGTTATCGTTCAAGCTGGTTTATACGCACAATCCATTACCAGTCTGAGTTTATTTTTGTTAACGTTTACAACGGCAAAGTGTGGAATGTACTATGTTTTGAAACCTTCATATGCAGCTTCTTTAGCTGTAAGCTTTTTAAAATATACTTTTTCCTTATAGTAGTTAAAATTCTTACTATAGGCTATACCAAACATTTCATTCCTCCTACACTTTCTCTGTATAAATTCTAGTCTTTGTATGGCTTTGATCCGACATTCTGGTAATCTGACATCATCTCTGCGCCACAATAAGTCAATCTCATATCTGTCATCACATTTTCTTATCGTTTCTTTCATAACTCTTAGTGCCCTAGAATTTTCTGAACTTAGCTGATTTAGTGTTACTAAAACTCCAAAGCTTTCTGTGGCCAACGAATCTCCTGCAGATTTTCATCATCTTCCTCATCTTCATTTAGTTGTTTGTGAATATGCATGAACTGATTGACTTGCTCTGAGGATTTTTGTGAATTTGACTCATTATTGGGTCCATGTATAGCCCAACCTAGTTTACATTTACTATCTATCAGTGAATTCTCTGGGCCATACCTGATTCGACGTGGATCAATAAGGTCAATATTGTCTTGTCCTATAATCATTACAGGCTCTTTGTTTTCGATATTTTTTAGAGGTAGGTGTTTGAAAAGCTCAGATCTCTGCATATCAGTAATTTTTACGGTTTGTCTAGGTATTGATAAGTTGTCTGTAGTTGTAATACCTTTTATTGTAAACATTCTCTGACTGCTTCCTTCCTTTAAAACATTTAAGTCAACCGTAATGGAGCCATTCTTCTGTAAATGTTGTATTTTCTATTGTCCATTTCAAACATAAATTTTGTATAAGTCCACTAAGCCCTATCTTTTGGGCGACAGTTTTACTCAAAAGTGAAATCATTGAGAATTCATCACAGATAGCTAATATTTCTGCAGAGCTCATGAAGGATAATAGAAATAGCTCTGAAATACACTTTTTTCGTAGCAGCTTGAATAGTACATACTGTCTCTCCTCCATCAGTTCTACTCTGGATCTCTTATGTTGTCCGATTAATATTCGTTGTCTTAACAATTTATTTGTGGGGAAGTAGATGATGATATAGTTTACATCCATGGACTTCACATTGCTTGTTAACTCGACATTTTAATTTTTAGTGGTTTTTCTTCAAGCAGAAGAAATAGAGCCTCTACGAAATTTTTTACTGAACAAACCCAACTTATTTTGCAGTATTCTACATATCCTAGCACCGGAGCCACCTTTTTTGAAACACCCTGTATACAATTTTTACTTGTTATAATCTAAATATCTTGATATCAAAATTGTTTACCCACTTATTTTATTGTATCTCATATATTTGAAATTTCCTTTTATTTTAGGTAAAAGTTACATAACAAAAATAAACGAAACAAGGAACAAATTATTAACTCACGGAGCTGATGCCATGGTTGTTACAGCTTTAGATGAAATAGCTTGGTTACTAAATGTAAGAGGAAGAGACGTTCCGAATTCACCTTACGTCAGAAGTTACGTTATCTTAGACATGAAAACCGTATTTTGGTATGTCAACAGCAGCCAAATTCCCGAAACTGTAAGGGAACAGTTGCATTACGATGCTAAAATATTTGGAAGTGATACTGTTAAGTAAGTATGGAAAATTAAATAAATAACATTCCCTTAATCAAGTTGGTTAACTAATTTATTTATAGTATTGCAATAATACCGCATATTACCCTTTTTGAAGCAAGTATGGAATTAGGCTTGAATAAAAATTGAATAAATTTGTAAAAGCATACTTTAAAATTATATGTTTTTGATATGCTGGATGTTATGATTTCGCCAGCCAGAAAAAACTCTTTCAAACAGAACATCAAGCAAATATTTTTTTTTTTTCGTCCAAAAACTTGATTATTTGAATTTTTCACATAAATTTTGAGGTTATGTGAAAAAAGTGTAATTACAAAAGTTGTAGGTCTCTTTATTACCTACAACCTTGTCATTTAATTTTTTTCCATAGGACGTAGTTTTTCCGGAAATCGAGATACACCGTTTTTTACCCTTAAAAACTCACCCCCTTCCACTTCCCGACCTCAGATCGCCCGTAAATTATTTTTCCTTTCATGTTTGTTATATTCTCGTCATTTTTTAACGGGTTTCATCCTACTATAATTTTTTTTCACTTTCTACCATTTTCAAAATTATCGACCCTGGTCTAATATTCCAAAAGTTTTTATCATTCCAAATATAAATATCTCAAAAACCTAATTCAACACACAAAGTCAGCCTGAAGAAATTAAAGAAAATTCGTTAATTATATTTGACAATGTAGCTTTTTATGATCATAAGATTATTCAAAGTTCTGGACAAAATTATTTTCCGATTTTTCGTATGTCAAACTTACTTGATAAAAAATCCATTTGAAAATCTACATAGAATATAAATGGGTTTATTCGACGAGCTCCAAAAAAACCTGCCACGTGTCACTTCAAAGGAATTTTTTCATACGCAACACTCTTTGTTTATTTTCATTTTTACTTTCCTGTCTGTATACAGATATAAAGAAAGTATAGAAATCATGATTCATTTCGACCTCGAGTTTTCGACGGATTTTTACGTTTTGAGGTCCCCTGAATCCGTTTTGACGTTTTGACTATTTTCGCGCGTGTGTGTGTGTGTGTGTGTGTGTGTGTGTGTGTGTGTGTGTGTGTGTGTGTGTGTGTGTGTGTGTGTGTGTGTGTGTGTGTGTGTGTGTGTGTGTGTGTGTGTGTGTGTGTGTGTGTGTGTGTGTGTGTGTGTGTGTGTGTGTGTGTGTGTGTGTGTGTGTGTGTGTGTGTGTGTGTGTGTGTGTGTGTGTGTGTGTGTGTGTGTGTGTGTGTGTGTGTGTGTGTGTGTGTGTGTGTGTGTGTGTGTGTGTGTGTGTGTGTGTGTGTGTGTGTGTGTGTGTGTGTGTGTGTGTGTGTGTGTGTGTGTGTGTGTGTGTGTGTGTGTGTGTGTGTGTGTGTGTGTGTGTGTGTGTGTGTGTGTGTGTGTGTGTGGGTGTGTGTGTGTGTGTGTGTGTGTGTGTGTGTGTGTGTGTGTGTGTGTGTGTGTGTGTGTGTGTGTGTGTGTGTGTGTGTGTGTGTGTGTGTGTGTGTGTGTGTGTGTGTGTGTGTGTGTGTGTGTGTGTGTGTGTGTGTGTGTGTGTGTGTGTGTGTGTGTGTGTGTGTGTGTGTGTGTGTGTGTGTGTGTGTGTGTGTGTGTGTGTGTGTGTGTGTGTGTGTGTGTGTGTGTGTGTGTGTGTGTGTGTGTGTGTGTGTGTGTGTGTGTGTGTGTGTGTGTGTGTGTGTGTGTGTGTGTGTGTGTGTGTGTGTGTGTGTGTGTGTGTGTGTGTGTGTGTGTGTGTGTGTGTGTGTGTGTGTGTGTGTGTGTGTGTGTGTGTGTGTGTGTGTGTGTTTTTGTGTGTGTGTGTTTTTGTGTGTGTGTGTTTTTATATTTTATGGAATATATCTGTTATTTACGTTTGGGGAAGAAAATTCTTCAAATAAAAGTTACTTCTTATATTATCTAAAATGTTTATTCTACACAAAATTTTCCTAAAATGGTCCGTATTCGAGAAATTTAACAAAATGTAAAAAAATATTTTTTTATAAAAATTGTTTAAACAAAAGTTGTTTGTAATATAATTCTCTATAATTTTTATCCTATACATAATTTTTTTTAAATGGACTGTATTCGAGATATTTGAGAAAATGTGTAAATTTTGAAATTTGAAGAAAACTCATAAACGGATGAAGAAAAAAACATTAAATTTTAAACTTAAGTTTCATTTCGGCCTGACGTGAAATGATTAGATTTTCGACAAAGTCGGAACATCTGGGGGATACTTTATAGGGGGCCGTTTTTATATTTTATGGAATATATCTGTTATTTATGTTTGGAGAAAAAAATTGTTTAAATAAAAGTTATTTCTAATATTATTATCTATAATTTTTGTTTCATGTCAAAATTTCCTGAAATGGTCCGTATTCGAGAAATTTGACAAAATGTGCAAAATTCTGATTTTTATGAAAATTGTTGAAATAAAAGTTGTTTGCGATATCGATCTCTATAATTTTTGTTTATACATGATTTTTCTAAAATGGACCGTAATGGAAAAATTGTAGGAAAAGTGCTAAATTTAAATTTTTCAGTATTTTCATTTTTAATGAATATCTATAGAAAAATGTTTCGAGGTAGATGTATGTGGAAAATGTATATATTTAGTTTATCCTCTAAACATTTATGGAGGTGCTGCAATAGGTTGTACAAAATAACCGGAAAAAGCCTGTAATAACTGGATAGGAAAGTCATGTATTGGACACATCAGATTTTTAAATTATTATATTTGATAATAAGATCAAATGTAATAAAAAGGTGCCCTCTATAAATAACTATTGTGGCATTTTAATTATTTTGATTTTTTTTTTTTTTTTAGATAATAAGTACGAGTACCTATAAATATATGTACTTAAAAAAAATCGCGTAATTTAATAATAATTAATGAAATACAAAATATTACATTTCAGCCTGAAACCCTACGAACAAATTTGGACGGATTTAGGAACGAAATCACAACTTTACCAAAAAATCTTGATACCTTCGCATTGTGTCTACAGCGAGGGGGCCAGTCATGCTATTTACGAGCACATTTTTCCAGACAGGAGATTTTTAATGCAGTCTCCGATCATCTACTTAAAAGCTGTAAAAAACCAAGTAGAAATTGAATTCATGCAGTACACTAACATTAGAGATGCGGCAGCTGTGTGTGATTGTTTCTCTTATATCCAGAAAAAGGTGATAATTTTTTTTTATATTATTGTTGACAGAAAAAGTTGTTTTAGAAAAAGACTATAGTAGGTTCAACAAAATTTTTGAATTTTACAAATCACCTAATAAACTAGAATGAAGATATATAATACTTAGCATTCTACCTATATTATACTCTGTAGAGTTTAACAGACCCCCCTTAACCCCCACCTTCAATAAAAATAGTTTAGAATCAATACGCTTCATCCCCTTCTCCTGAAGATTTCAATTTGATATCGTTTTTTTATTTCTAGTTAAGATTTTTCCCCCCTTATACCCCAATTTTGATTCAATTTTTTTGTTTCAGAATCAATAGATTTCATTCCCTTATAGAGCTTGATTTTTACTAAAAATTTCATGTTGATATCGTTTTTGGAGTTGGATTTCTATTTTTTTTTATTTCAGCCCACCTTAACCCCCATTTTGTTCACAAATTTTTTAAATCAATTGTTTTTGTCCATTATAGAGCTTGATTTTTGCTAAAAAATTTAAGTTGATATTAATTTTCGTTTTTGATTTATGATTTTTTTTTAATTTCAATCCCCCCTAACCCCCACATTTTTATAAATAAATAAATAAATAAATAAATCTTTAATTCCAAGAGACCTTGTACAGGTATGGGAAAAGTCAAAACATGGTGTACAATTTAATAAAGTAGAATAGAAAATACAAAGTACTAAAATTCAGAAATAGATACTAAACTTAAAAAAATCTAAAACAAACTTATTTATAAACCAAAATATAATTATAATATTTATGAAGGAGATGATTTATCTACGAATCAAGGAACTCAGAAACAAAACTAGAAACAAAATTAGATTTTTATCAAAATCAATAGACTTCGACCTCTTATAGAGCTGGATTTTCCTGAAATATTCAAATTGATATCATTTTTCGTTTTTAACTTATCGTGCGGACAAAAAACGTGACATCGGACGGACGGACGGACGGACGGACGGGCGGACGGACGGACGGACGGACGGACGGATGGACGGACAGACGGATGGACGAAGCGATTGCATAATACTCTTCACAGACTACTGTGTAAAGAGTATAATAATAATATATTCATATTTATTGAGAAGATACAGTGGAAAATGTATGTATTGCAACTATTAGTAAGAAAGTAAGGGTACTCTTCAACACGTATAATAAGTTAATACTACGTCACTTGGCGCTGTTTAGACCATTTGGGTTTTCAATGCATTCTGTTACAAATAAGTGACAAGACAACACTCATATAATCGGTGCAATGAAATTTCCAATGCACGTCTTAAACTCATGAAAGTAGACGTTGCTACAAAATTAGAGGGATCTCAAGAAACCTTTTATAAAAAACTAATGTCTAATTTGAACTCCGTCTTTTGACACTTTAAATAATTAATTCATTAGACCTATATATACAATTTTAAAGGCTTTCGGAAGGAGTTCTTCTAATATAAATAAATAGAATAAAACTAAACCGAACGCAAAGCTTTATTCATGGTCAGTTTGATAGTTCTATTAAAATTGTCATAAAAAGAAACATTGATTTGTGCGTTACGTATATACTAATAGGCATTTTCATCATGCAATGGGCGCAAGTGCAGCCGTCATGTTAAAATAGCGGTATTTCAAAAGTTTTGTACTGTTTTGATCAACAATGGCTGGGAAAGCAATATTATCTCTACAGAGAAGTTAATCAGAAAAATCATAAATGGTGATTCACTTTTTTATAACTCTGTGGAAGCACATAGTTGTGAGTAAGGCCGGTACCGTGACCGGTTAACTGGTTCCGTAGGATCAAAAACCGTTAAAGAACGTAACCCCCGTTTAACCGGAACAGGTTTAACCGTAACCGGTTTAACCGCAAACGGTGTAACTCTAATCGAACCGGTTAAACCTGTCACAACAAGCTGACATCGAATAGTATACCAAAAACAAAGTATCGATGGCATTAAAATGACCGAAGTGAAAAAAAATTATAGTTATAAATATCGGATGTTTTTAAAACTTATACATATAAAAGTAAAACAAAATGAGACTGTATTTATTTTATAAAAAAATACAAACAAATATAAACATTCCAAATGTAATAATAAAACAAAGCAAAACTAAGAAAATTATTATTTTTTAATAAATAAAATCACAGTTATCCAAAATATGCCATGATTAAGCCGGTGATGGTTACAGTTAAACCAGTAACGGATAAACCAGTGACGGGTTTAACTGGTGACGGTTACGGTTAAACCGCCGAATCCGGTCTAACCAATCCGGTTCGACCAGTTCGGTTTGATCGGACCGGTTAACCGGATAACCGGATATCTGGACCAGTTATAATAATAGTAAAATCCGGTTAAAACCGAAACCGGTCAAAATCAGTCGAACCGGTTAACCGTTTATCATGTCATGAATTGACAGTCTTGGTTGTGAGTAATTGAAAAGGCGGTTGAAGTGTCATGTACGTTTGTAACAAGGGAACAAAAGTGTGCTGATTCTATTCTAATTAATTATGCCAACTAACTATTAGTTCTTGCAAAAACACTTTAATTAACATGAAAGTTATTCACGAGTATTACTAAAAAAAATTATTTAATATTTTGAGGATCAACATGATATTTTTATTCATATTACTGTGTATACCGAAGTAGTATTTAATATTAAAAAAAAATATTGTGTAATACTAGATAAGGATTTTCTTCTGTTGGACCTCTTTCTCTATGAAAGTGAACAAAATATAAGTATCTTCATTAACATAATCAATCGATCGAAAACCTTTGTCACTTCGACATTTTTCACACATAATGCATAATTTGAATATGTTTTAATATGTATTTTTTCTAATGATTTGATAATTTTCTTACAATATTGCAGGCAAGGCTTTCGAAAATTTATAAAATATGTATTATCTTTGAATGATTTATACCGTGTGTACTTTTACATAGTTTCGTTGTTCCTTTCCGTGCAGATGCCTAACATAATTATAATTATTGATTTAAAAAATGTATTTTTCAATTAAGACACTTATCACTTTTTTTAAATGAACACACTTAAATTAATATTTATCGATTATATTTTTTTACGTGAGCATTTTAACATGCCTGTTTACACAAAACAGTACGAAAAAGATGGCTGATATAGATGCATGCACAAAACAAAAATTGTAATGAAAAGGCCTGCCCCTTTCAATCTTGAAAAGCAACAAATTAATATGATAATTTGATAAACAATTTTCATCATTGATGACGTGCAACGAAAATTTAATTGCACCCACTTATATTACTCCATTAACATACGTGCTCATAAGAGGTGCAGGATTAAACCTTCTACTCTGATTTACTTGTGTTAAATGAGTAGATCTCTGACTGGCAATCTTGATACTACATCCTTTATTGTCGTATATACGTGAACGCCATTTATTATTCGCTGTAGCACAAGCAAAGTAGGCCCGGACCCAGAGGTTTGATCTTGTCAGCACTGTCTATTGACCAAGTACACCAGGCATCAATCGAAGACCCGTAGGCAAGTAAAACACCAGTGGTTGTCATATAAATCTCCAAGGGAGACATTCTGGTTATCCATTTTGTGAGCAATAAGATGACATGTATTCAATACTTTTGTATATCAATTGAGTATTTCCTAATTTCTGCTAAAAAAATCTTTCTTTTGGGACGCCTAACAGGTTGTAGGATCTCCATTAATGTTGTGATACATACTTTATAAATTTTCCAAAGCCTTGCCTGCAATATCGTAAAAAAATTATCAAATCATCAGGAAAAATACATATTAAAACATGTTCAAAATGTGCATTATGTGTGAAAAAATGTCGAAGTGACAAAGGTTTTCGATCGATTGATGATGTTAATGAAGATACTTTTATTTTGTTCACTTTCATAGAAAAAGAGGTACTATTATTGTATATTTTCCACTTTTTTGTCCTCAACTTTTAGTAACTATTATTTTTCAGATGAACGAAGACGAAAAAATAATGGAAACGGATTTGGTACAGTATTTGAACGAATACAGATATGAACAGAATCATAGTTTAGGTAACAGTTTTAGAACAAGAGTAGGTTTTGGTTCCAACGCTGCTTTTCCCAATTATGAACCTACTGTAAATACAAATGTACAAATTTTCAAAAACAGTACACTCGTTCTGGATTCAGGAGGCCAATATTACGGTAACCGTAGATTTTAAACAAATTATTTGTCGTAATATTCTAATATTTTATTTCATCGCAAGTCTTTACTCGATTTTAAACGTTTGTTCAAGGTGGTACCACCGAAGTAACACGTACTCTTCACTTTGGTGAACCCACCGATGACATGAAAGAGGCATACACAAGAGTACTAATTGGCCTCATCACGCTGTCAACTTTGACGTTTCCTAGCACCATGAAAATGGCGGTGGCCGACTCTTTAGCTAGGGCGTCACTTTGGGAAGTCGGTTTGGACTATGCACATGAAACCGGGCACGGAATAGGGTCATTTTTAGGAGTTAATGAATGTGAGTAAAGGACCAGGCACCTTTCTTATGGAAAAATGGCTTTCCGTCAAATTTTTTGAAACGTTGATATGTTATAGAACTCGATGCTCTGACAAAAAGTGTCCATTGGCCCAAACCGATCCTATGACTAGTTTTCGAGGTATAGGGTGTTAAACTTCGAAAATGCCACTTTTTGGTAACCAGATTTCTCACAAAAGACCTATTTTATTCACGTTTTTTTGGAAAAAATATGATTTGTAAATTATTAGGCATTAATATTTTATAGTAAGTTACTGTAGAAATTGGTTAATTACAGGGTAGTTCGGAAATAAGTAACACGGTTTTTTTTTGAAAGTCTTTTTCTTTATGACAGCTTTAAAAGTACGTAAAAATATAATTCCACAATGCAAATATAGTTTAAGTAATTGCTTCTTGTTGATGAATCATATTTTATACAGGGTGACTCATAAATATGATTACAAAGGGTATTTATTCGTTTCAGCTTTAACGAGTCACCCTGTATAAACGATGAATCCTGATTTTTTTATTAGATTAAATACATGTACAACCTGTCACCCTATGACATACAGGGTGTTAAACCGATTGCAGAAACTTTAAAAATTAGCAAAGTAGTTTTTTGTGCAACACCCTGTATTTTAAAATTTTCTCCGTCAACTTTGTAAATTATAACATTTTTAAATTAAGAAAAGTTTAGTAATTAACTGAGCAAAATTTTGTTGTAATTCTATGACCAGTTTTTCTAAAATATTAATCCAAAGTTACTATAGTTAAACGATTTTTTAATATATATTTTGCACATCATCAAATATAATTAAATACATTATTTAAGAATACTGGATGATGCTAATATATATGTGTATACAGACAGCAGAAAAGATGTATAGGAACAAAAAAATATAGACAGAATTAGAGATTGAAGTATCAAAGGAATATTAAGGTTATGTGATGGTTCCTTGCAATAACAATTGGTGATAGATATATGAAAAAAATATATTCAAGGTTTATTTTTAAATAACACATGAAAATGTTAATAATTTAAAAGCAGGGTCTGCTATCAATTCATTTTTACGAGAACAGTAAAAAAAACTAATAATGAAGTATCTATAAGGTGCAACAAAAATATATTTGACCTAATATTAGTTCAGAATCATTATCTACATCTTATTCAATTATCCTATTTTTGATATTCTCAATATATTTAAACAAACGTGCAGATGTATGCTTAATATTTGCTTGATGTAGTAAAAGTCATGTAAATTGGCAGCATGATATTCTAGGATCGACTGGAGGCAAAACTTAAAAATTTACTTTTAATGACGGTTTCTTGCCTCCACTACCCATCTCGTACTTGAAATCAGACGTGATTAATTAGCAGCAATATTTGTGTACTGATTTTCGTTGTGATTTAGAAAAGAAAGAATGTGAACAATAAGTAAAAGATCATTAAAAAGAAGAACCGAATAACTAAAACCTCTATCAAGTTCTTATAATGTCATTTTGGAATTATCTGCATAATACCTATTGGAATTCTCTGCGTAATATGCATCATTATTCTTTGTATTAAAATAGAAAGGGCCATTATTTGTTAATATGTATACTTTTGGCGAGACCATCAGTTCAGGTTTAAATATGTTCTTTTTAATGTAAACAATAAGATTGTCGCAAAATTCGAAAATTACTAATTTTCTCAATTTTGTTATATGTGCAATTTATATAAAGAATAGCTTTAGGAAGATTTGGAATAGAAATATACAATTGATTGGCGAATGCAGTATATGGGGCAAAATTCTGGAATAATGATAATTTACCTAGTTATATAATTTTACTGGTCATTTTCTGAATGCAATAATTAAATATTATTTGTAAAAAGGTATGGGATATACCAAGCCTCAATTTAAAAAGAATTGTGAAAAGTTGTTTTTCTTTTGTCGAATTGATGTCGCGAAATAGATGTTAGTATCTAAAGACGTTCCTTTAAGAAGCTGTTAACATCTTCCCAATTACTTTTTTTTTGTCGTGAATTAGCAACAGATCTCGGCGATTGTTTATGTAAGACAAAGAGCGATTTAGCATCGATGCTGCATTGTATAACCATCTGTACATCGTTCGTAAGATTTAATGACTCAATTAGTGACGTCGTAATAAATTAAATCGTCTCAAGTATAAACAATCGCCGAGTATTATAGCTGACAATAAGGCCTGTATATTTGATTTTGCTAAGTCTGTATACACATATACATATTTAGCATCTTTATCTTTGTCGTGTATAAGCAGGCAGGGTTAGGTTTGGCACATACCACTGCGGCTTCTTGGGTCTATTGTATTCTCCTGCTTTCCCCGTACTCAGGTACTATCGTTGGAATAGTCGTGTGCCTTTGGTAAGTTTTACTAGGTTCTTGGGGCGTTTTTTCTGGTTTTAGACCGAATAGAATAAATAGCCGCCTAGCGGGAGCTTCGCATTCCAAGATAACATGATAGGTCTCTTCCTCTTCCATGCAGTCTACACGTGGTAGAATCATTGAGTAGTCCCATCACATGAAGGTGTTTTAGCAAGCAGTGCCCCGTTAGTAATCCCACGACGGTTAATATCTGAGGCCTTGCAAGCTGTAGTACCTCAGCGGCCATGCGTGGGTTTAATCCCATTAACATGAAGCTAGCTGCTTCTGTGTCCTCTTATCTGTTGTCAGCGAATTTGGTGTTTAGTGAATATCCATCTGTTCACTACCTGTCGGGCAGAGGTTTTGCTTAGCCCAAATACAGGTTCGGGTCCTGTAAATGGTAGATCTGATTCCTCTTTGGCGAGTACGTCAGCTTTTTCATTTCCTTGGATACCTTGGTGTCCCGGTACCCACGCTAGTTTTAGATTGTTGCGGGTTGCAAGATTATTAAGTATTCCAAGGCAGTTCCAGACCAGCAAAATAGATATTAAAAAATCGTTTAATTATAGTAAGTTTGGATTAATATTTTCAAAAAACTGGTCATAGAATTAAAACAAAATTTTGCTCAGTTAAATACTGAACTTTTCTTAATTTTAAAATGTATTAATTTACAAAGTTGACGGAGAAACTTTTAAAATACAGGGTGTTGCACAAAAAACTACTTTGCCAATTTTTAAAGTTTCTGCAATCGGTTTAACACCATGTATGGCATAGGGTGACAGGTTGTACATGTACTTAATGTAATAAAGAAAATTCAGGATACATCGTTTATACAGGGTGACTCGTTAAAGCTGAAAAACAATATATACCCTCTGTAATCATATTTATGAGTCACCCTGTATAAAATGGGATTTATCAACCAGAACCAATTACTTGCACTATATTTGCATTGTGAAATTATATTTTTTCGTTCATTTAACGCTGTCATAAAAAAAAAGATTTAAGAAAAAAACTGTATTACTTATTTCCGAACTACCCTGTAATTAACCAGTTTCCACAGTAACTTACTTTAAAAAATTAATGGTAAATTATCTATAAGTCATGTTTTCTACAAAAAGCGCAAATAAAATAGGTCATTTATGAGAAATCTGGTTACAAAAAAGTGGCATTTTTGAAGTTTAACACCCTGTAACTCGAAAACTAGTCATAGGATCGGTTTGGGCCAATGGACACTTTTTGTCAGAGCATCGAGTTCTACAACATATCAACGTTTCAGAAAATTTGACGGAAAGTCATTTTTCCATAAGAAAGGTGCCTGGTCCTTTTGAGAGTGGAAACTGATAATATCACTTTGTTTCTGAAAAGCAAAATAAATTATAATGTAACCTTTACATAGCTAATAACAATTTTTCTTTTATAATTTTAGCTCCAATAAAGGTTCATTTCAACTCTGAGGTTAGCGCTCAGCAAAAATTTAAACCTGGCTATTTTCTTTCCAACGGTAACTTTTTCATTAATGTTTAGTATTTCAATGCTTTTACCTATTTTATTTCTAGGACCTGCATATTATAGAGAAGGAGTTTTTGGAGTAAGATTGGAGAATATTCTGCAGGTTATAGAAAAGCCTTGGTTAAAACATATTGAACACAGTTATTACGGATTTAAAACCATTACTTACGTTCCATTTGAACCCAATTTGATTAAACTGAGTTTATTATCAATTCATCAGGTATTAAAATGTTATTATTTTTATATTCACTCCAACATTATAAGTATGAGCATTGTGTTTGAATAAAAATTAAATGCTATTGTATAAGTTAGAACTACGCAGGTGTTATTGGTACTTTTCATACTCGTTCTTCAGAGGCTACACCTAATATTTTCTGATTACATGTCAATTTTACTATAATTTTTAATCTATTTTCATTACTAACGTAATTTTTGACGAATTATTTTAGAGAAAATGGTTGAATAATTACAACGAACAGGTACGCCATTTGGTCGGAGAAGAATTGAAAAAACAAAAGAGGATGGAAGGATTTTATTGGATGATGGACAAAACTCAATATATTCCAGAAAATAAGTCTTCTAGTATTACGAGCACATTCTACCTCATTATTTTTTTAAATGTAATTTTATTATTCAATAAATTCTAAATAATGAAGTAGTTTGGTATATTTATTTACAATTTAGGTCTCTTCCATCCACTAAAAAGTATATATTAATACGGGGGGTAGGTTGGTTCAGTGGTTAGAGTCATGACTTTGAGAGCGGAAGGTCTCAGGATCGAATTCCACCGTTGGCCGGGATTTTTTCATTTAATTTAATTATTTAAAATTAATTCTGATGCCTTGGTAGGATTCCCCACTCGACCATTCAATGTTGGGTTCTAATTAACAGTGCTGTTCCTAAAGTGGCGCAGGGAAACAGTAACAAAGCCTACACAGAACACGAGGCTAATGGCCGTAGTAGTCGACGCCGATGACACCAAATAAAAAAAAAATACCACAAACACCAGCGAACTTTTTAGCGGGCCGAAACCAGAGAATCAAGTCCTCTTGCCCGCAAAGGATCAGGGACCTCGAAATTCGTCGGTAGAATCTGATTACAATGCGCTGGTTCAGTGATGATGTATTTATGGTTCCACTGACAATTAAAGTGACAGTAGATTTTTTGAGTGCATTTTGTTCGTTGTGTTTACCTAAATTATACCGTTTCTTCACTTTTATAAATATATTTCTAAAGTAAGTAGATAACATGCATCAACTATTAAATCGTTTAGTTACCAATTACATACCTTTAAACTATTTTTTATGACCTGTAAACAATATTTAGAAATAAACTAAAAACAGTAAAAACGTATACGTCAAATTTATTGATGTTTATATTAAAAGTTTGGTTAGAATTAAATGTCAGTGGAACCAAAATGACATCACACTGAACTAGCGCATAGGAAAAACACTACTACGTCATAACTATTATTTCGACTTTCTAATATATATTACTTATTAATTACTATCAATAAATAAAATATAAGTAATTGGCTAGGTTCAAACAAATAATTACTATATTCCTATAACATTAACACACCACTAAATCTCCAGAAGACGGCGATCACCAATAAATTGTTCTGTCAAGTGATGACGTAGCTGCGCTCTTCTTATTAGGCATTCCAAACAAATGAATTGCCAGTGGGAAGGTCTGGTATATTTAAGGGTGGCGACATACGGTGTATTCTATCTACTTTACGTAAAATCATGAATAATGGATAACATTTAAATATTTTATCTCAAACACAATAAAAATCATATTTAAAAAACCCACCTATACATTTATTCATAAATTGGCAGGCTTGGCTTCGAATAAAAATAGCGTCCAAGTTGCAAGATTATGTCGCTACCCCCTTAGATATACAAGAATTTCCCACTGGCACCTATTGTTTGACAGGTCGTTGGAATGCCTAATTGTAATCGGAGCCTAGTTTCACACAATCAATGGCTGCCGATATTAATTCGTTGCCACACACCAGCGGATTAGATTCGTCAAAGGGTCCGTAGGTGTATTGTGACCTAATATTTTGTCTAATAATGACAATCCACATTTAACTAAAAGAGATTTTGTTTAAAGCGGGCTCTAGATCGTTGTCCTCCATCCATTTTTCAATTATCTTCAACTCTTTGTTACCGCTATCCATCACCCACATAGGTAATTAATTAATGTTTACAACAAATAATGTTTACATAAATAAATAAATAAATAAATAAATAAATAAATAAATAAATACCACCAAGTCATCCCCAAAGGCTATATATCTTCATTCCACTCCTTAGCGCAAGAACGTTATCGTACAAAACATTCCACTTTTCGAGTCAAGGACAGAGCTCCTGCACCCGGGATCTTTTGGTGATTCCTTGTCACCGTTATAGGTCTGTTCTTTAGGTATTTGCTAGGTGCTGATTACTACATATGGAGGTATGTCTACTCCGTTAATGGCGTTTAGTATATTAGTCCCGTTGTCCTAATTACAGGCATTTTTAACGTCCAGAGCTATGAGCTGCATATCTCTTCCGGATTACCTTGACTGTGTTCCCCATCCAATTAACCGCATCTGCCATTGACCGGCCCTTGCGGAAGCCAAATTGAATCTCCGAAAAGACATTGTTGTTATGGAGTTGTGTCTTAACTCTAGCTTTAATCAGTATTTCGTACAGCTTTTCCAAACAATTAAGAAGGCAGGTCGGTCTATATAGGGTAGGATCATCGGCTGCACTTTCCGGTTTCGAAATTGGAAATTGTTTGGGAATTTTTTGGGAACTTAAATTGTTGTTAGATTTTAAGTGTTGATTAAAGAAATTTACAGAAAAGTTATATTGAATTAATAGTCTAGTAGATTTTATCAGATAATTTGGTTGTAAAACCAACACCGGGTTTACTAGAAGGTCGTTGATGATAGCTAGTATTTTGTCTCTATGTGCATGAATGAAACATTGTATTTATTGCCTCTTGAACTATTCCGTCGGGACCTGGCGCTTTCTTTAGCTTACTGCCTGCATGTTCCTCTAACGTGAAAAGAGGAATATTTTCTATAGTTTCTGCTCCTCGATCATATTGTGCGTACCCTTTCATGTTCCTTGTGACCAACTTTTACTACCCATCCCCCTGATATCTTTATAAAGACTACAGATGAGTTGAAACCTATCTTTTTACTGCTCAGGATAGTTTTTGCCAGGGTCTTACTGGTATCATTAAACCGTTCCTCGTATTTCGCCATGTTTGAGTCCTACCTTATTTTTTCGCTTATAAATATTCAGCCCTAGCTGGGTACCCCTCAGACTTTCTACAGAACAAACCATTCTTTGAAAATACTGAAGCAGAAGTCTTATAGGAATTAAATGTTTATGGAGGTTTTTATTTACTAATAGTTTAGCTGCTATGTTGCGAGCGGAAATAATACTTATAGGTAATCTAAATCAATGTAACAATTTACAGTTGATCTGAAAATAGCTTTTTTCGAATGGTCTACTACACGACACGTCCATCGAACATATTACGAGGGTGGATCAATAAGTACCCATGTTTGAAGGCAGGTGGCGTTGCTGAGGGAAGTTGGCATTACTGTCGTGTACTGGCATCTGTCACACGACACCATACTAATGGCGTTTACCATTGGCACTGGCAGTATGCACTGAGTATATTTGTGTCCCTGTTCATTTATACCCAGACAACACACCAAATCTCAGAGATATCCACAGAATATCTTTTGTGGATATCCAATATATCCACAGGATATCAGAAATATTCTGTGGATCTAATATGGATATCCAAATGTCCGTCGTGGTCCGTCTGTATCCAGAATATAGAAGATATCCTAATGGATATTCAGCAAAATATCTAATAGGTATCTTTCAGAAAATACAAGAAATCCCAGAGATATCTACAGAATATATTTTGTGGATATTCAATATATCCAATATGGATATCCAACCAAATGTCCGTCTATATATCCCAGGATATAGAAGATATTCGGATATTCAGCAAAATATTTTATGGGTATCTTTAGTAGAGGTTTATAAGTAACCAATGATTATTGAATAACGTCGAAAGAAAATAGCAGAGATAAAAAATATTTTCAACACTCAAAATATTTTCAACAGAAAGTCATCCTTATTAGGACTCTTCAGCAATAAATGAAAATTCTCGACTCCAGTCTCTAATGGAGTGATTAGGACACAAATTTCGATCGAACTCAATTGCGGCGGGTCGAGCATGAGTAGATGCGATAGTGGTATCGCCATCTATACTTAGTAAGCAGAATCAAATAACATCTAGTGGATATCCACGATGGTTTGCGTTCGCGCCTAGACTTTGATATATTTAGTGGATGTTCATGGGATATTGAATACACCTTAAAAAAATTAATTTTAAATATCTGAACGGTACTATTAGCCACAATGGCGAGCACAATGGCGTAATTTTTAATAATTTGCTATATAATTATTATTTATGGACATTTGCATGTCTATAAATTACATTTCATGGATATAAAATAGATATCTACCATGGATTGGACATTCAGTGGATATTGGGATGTTCATTAAATATCCAAAGGATTTGGTGTGCTGTCTGGGTATGGAAAAGAAGAAAGTAAGAATACACTCAGAACGCACTGAATATTCCAATGGAAAACGCTATAAATTTCAAACTGATTTATAGGTTGGTTTTAATTTGGCAGCCACTTGTACCATACGTGTTTCGCATTAATCAATAAAATGGACCAAGAACAATATCGATCCGTAATTTGCTTTTTATTTTTTGATGGAGAAACATGCGATGAAATAAAAGCAAAGTTGGATAGTTGGATGCTGTCTATGGGGACCCTTCACCATCTATGACAACCGTAAGATATTGGTTCAACGAATTTAAACGTGGTCGTACGTCTATTTTTGATGAGGAGCGACCAGGTCGCCCGGCAGACGTTGTTACCGAGGAAATCGTTAAAAAGGTCCAAGACATGATTATCGCAGATCGCCGAACGAAAGTGCGAGAAGTAGCAGAGGCCGTAGGCGTATCATACGGAACGGCAATTAATATTTTGCATGATAAGTTAAACATGAGAAAGGTATCGGCCTGATGGGTGCCACAATTGCTAACGGTGGGCAACAAGCGGATACGCCTGTCAATGTCGAAGCAGTGTTTGGAGCTCTTTAATCGAAATTCGCAGGAGTTTTTACGTAGAGTCGTCACCGTTGATGAAACCTGGATACATTATTATACGCCTGAGACCAAACGACAGTCGAAGCAATGGATTTTTCGGGGTGAATCTGCTCCGAAGAAAGCAAAGACGGTTCCATCGACCGAAAAGATCATGGCTATGATTTTTTGGGATTCCAAGGGAATAATCCTCATCGACTTTTTGCAGAAAGGAAGTACGATCACAGGGCAATACTATAGTGAATTATTGGACCGATTCGATGTAAAATTGAAGGAGACACTACCTCATTTGGCTAAGAAAAAAGTCCTGTTTCACCACGATAACGCACCAGCACATTCATCGAGAATTGTCGCGGTCAAATTTCAAGAACGTCAGTACGAATTGCTGCCGCACCCACCGTACTCGCCCGACTTGGCTCCATGCGACTTTGTTCTATTCCCCAACATGAAAACGTGGATCGGGGGAAAAATTCAGCTCTAACGAGGAGGTTATCGTCGAGACTGAAGCGTATTTTGCGGAGTTCGAGAAATCATATTTTTTTTGGAGGTGTTAAATAAATGGCAGAGACCCTCCCAGACAACACACCAAAGCCCAGAGATATCCACAGAATATCTTTTGTGGATATCCAATATATCTACAGGATATCAAAAATATTCCGTGGATCTAATATGGATATCCAAATGTCCGTCTATATCCAGAATATAGAAGATATCCTAATGGATATTCAGCAAAATATCTAATGGGTATCTTCCAGAAAATACAAGAAATCCCAGAGATTTCCACAGAATATATTTTGTGGATATTCAATACATCCTATATGGATATCCAACCAAATGTCCGTCTATATCCCAGGATATAGAAGATATTCGGATATTCAACAAAATATTTTATGGGTATCTTTAGTAGAGGTTCATAAGTAACCAATGATTATTGAATAACGTCGAAAGAAAATCCGCTATTTTCTTATTATTATTATTATTATTATTATTATTAAAAAATATTTTCAACAGTCTGCCTTTGATTTTGCCCACTAAGGAGAAAGTTATCCTTATTAGGACTCTTCAGCAATAAATGGAAATTCTCGACTCCAGTCTCTAATGGAGTCTGTAGGACAAAAATTTCGATCGAACTCTATTACGGCGGGTCGAGCATGAGTAGATGCGATAGTGGTATCGCCATCTATACTTAGTAAGCAGAATCAAATAACATCTAGTGGATATCCACGATGGTTTGCGTTCGCGCCTAGACTTTGATATATTTAGTGGATGTTCATGGGATATTGAATACACCTTAAAAAAATTAATTTTAAATATCTGAACGGTACTATTAGCCACAATGGCGTAATTTTTTTAATAATTTGCTATATAATTACTATTATTTATGGACATTTGCATGTCTATAAATTACATCTCATGGATATAAAATATATATCTACCATGGACTGGACATTCAGTGGATATTGGGATGTTCAGTAGATATCCAAAGGATTTGGTGTGCTGTCTGGGCTTGGGAGAAGTGTATAGCACTAAAAGGAGATTACGTTTAAAAATATAAATAATTTTTTTTGAAAAACTTGCCTCTTCCTTTCTAACACGGGTACTTTTTGAACCACCCTCGTATGTTGTCTTAAACCCAATAAACTGGAGTGGGGTAGAATGCTTGTCAATAGGCTTGAGATGCGACTCTATGGGCAAAGACAGGTTATTTTTCATCTCACTCGGGAGTATTTATAACAACCATTTTCTATTTCACTTTGTTATTGTCTGATCCACCAGCTTGTGGATTGAACAATAACAATGTGAAACAGAAAATGGTTATTATAAATACTCCCGAGTGAGATGAGAAATAAAAATGGCTGCGCCCATAGAGTCGCATCTTGTTTTACTGATACAATATGCACATTGGCTTTCTACCCCACTCCAGTTCATTGCTTAAACCTTGTCTGTATAAATCATAAATCAACCACAGATCACACCACAAAACAACTATGCTAATGGTGGACCACCAATCTATATTTTATATATCGATGCTTGACGACCATATGTCAAATGTCAAATAATAAATTTTAATAACCTCAAAAATATAGAAATAAACGTCAAAACAAAAATGACTCATAGGACAATTTTACTGCCTTTTTGAAGTTTAAAAATTAAATACCATCGTTAATTTTAAAACTTTGCAAAGTCTAAAAGTACAATGGCACAGAGTAGTAAAGATCCCGTTTTGGATACATTAGAACCGCAGGTGCGATTAAAACAACTAATTAATTACAGTAATCAAGTTGATATTGGGCCCCACGTACCTCCTTTAAGGTAAAATTGTTTATTCATGAAATATATTTTAAAACAATGCTTATAAGGTTTATTTAAAAATTATTTACATGCGTTTCACAAAATTCATAATGCTCTAATTAAATTTTATTTAGGTATTATCGTTCAGGACAAGAGATGATACGAATGGCAAATGTTTACTACAAAGAAGGAAGCCTAGAAAATGCCTATGTATTGTATTTAAAATTTATGACCCTATTTTTGGAAAAGATCAGGAAACATCCTGATTTTCGAAGCGTTTCAGTACAAATTAAGGCTAAGAATCAAGCAACCTTAAGAGAAGTCCTCCCAAGGGCTGAGAAGATAAAATCACAGCTACTAGAGCAGTATACTCTTGATTATAAAAAATGTATGGCTGAAAGGGTAAGTCTGAAATAATTGATAATCTAAATATACCTACTTAAAACTAGTTTCTGATTTTTGGAATCAAGTATTAGAAAATATTTTAAGCTAGAGGAGTTAAAATTGAAAGCCTATGTGTTGCACTATATTCAAGAACTCTTCTAAGGTTATAATTTTATAGTGAACGTGCAAAGTTATTGTATCATTAATGTTCCTGGTAGGTATTTATCTTTATCCAGAAGACAAAAGTTTTATAAAAATGCTTTATGTGCTCATTAAAAGACAATTCTTGATCAAATATGATAATAAAAATAAAGGAAAAATTATAGGTATTTGAAACAGGATTTAGGGTTTTATGTCCTTGGCTTAAATTACAAAAAAATATCACACCATTCTATTAATTTATTAAAGTGATTTTGTAATTTTGATTCATCTGCATATAATAAGTAATTTGGTTAATGTAATCAAGAAACTATACATCATTAATGTAGATATAGAAAACAGTACTGGTCTAATATAGAATAGTAGTTATGGGCTTTTATATTTGTTATAATTCTCTATTGACTTTATAAAATTAGCTAGGCCCTTACAATAATAATAATAATAATTTTTATTTATTTCTGTAGACCTATATACATAGGTATAGAAAATGTCACATAAAATTTACAAACAAGACAAAAATATAGGAGTGAAAACAAATTTATATATAATTCGTTACAAACAATACATTTAAAACATTTAAGTAAAATTATAACAACATTTAAGTAAAATTATAGTGGAGGTATTCCTCAACACTATAAAAAGTGTAGTAAGACCTCTGTTACTTGGGTTTTGAAAGCTTTAACATCATTTATGCATTTTATGTTATCCAGAAGTTTATTGTAAAGCTTGATTGCTGTAATTAGAGGTCCTTTACTTGCCATAACTAATTTATGCTTTGGTATAACGAGATCATTTCTTAAATTGTACCCGTTATTAATAGAAATATCACCTCTACAAAGAAAATTCTGATGATTGGACCTTACATATAACACATATTTTAAAATATAAATGGAAATAACAGTTAAAATACTTAAGTCCTTAAAAAGTTGTCTGCATGAGAATTGTCTATTTTTGAAAGTAATGGTTCTTATAGCCTACAATTTTCCCAACATAATATGCAGTAATTCAAAATCGAGTGAATTTGAGTGAAATAATACATTTTCAGGATATCTACTGAAATGAAATGTCTTAGCTGCCAAAGAACATAACAGTGAGTGGCTAATTTAGATGTGATATGGTCAATATGAAAATCCCAAAAAATATTACAGTCAAAATGAACTCCTAAAATTTTGAGTTATAGATGTACCATTGTGGCGGACCAGTAAACTATAATTTAACTCTCTTGGGGAAAATAATAACATATTTGTTTTATTAACATTTAAAAATAGCCCATTGTTGTCACAATAACTACTCATAGTTTCAACAGCTATGTTAGCTTGATCTCTTAACAAAAGAGTATCTTTACTTACAATACTAAATTTGGTTGTATTTATATTGTGAGGTTATTATCATTGCTTTAGTTTTATTGACGTTTATTTTAAGTTTATTCACATTGAGAAATTCGTTAATATTTTGAAGTGCTTGATTTATTTTGGTAATTGCATTTTCTAAATTTTGATCGCTTGCAACTAGTAGAGTGTCGTCTGCAAATACATTTAAAAATTCACACTCTTTTACGTAATTTAGATCATTGCGGTACAAAAAAAGTGGCCCCAAAACACTTCCCTGGGGTACACCCGAGGATACAGGAATTTAATTAGAAAATACATTGTTTATTTGTCTTTTGATGTCTGTTTAGAAGATAGCTTTGAAACCATGAATGGACCTTATCTGTGGTTTCAAAAGCTCTTTTGCATGATGTATCATCAGCAAATTGAGTGATGAAAATATTAGAACTGGCTAAGTCGTTAATAAAAAGAAGAAAACGAGTAGGACCTATGACACTACCTTGTGGTACACTGGATCTGACTTTTCGAGAAGTTGATAGATTTTTTAATGAATTTGAATTAAATAGAACTGTTTGAGATCTGTTAATTATAAAATATTTATATTTATATATTACCATATAACTCAAGTTTATGTAAAAGTAATTCTTGATTGACTGTCTCGAAGGCTTGAGAAAGATCAAAAAAACAAAGTTAGACATTTATTTTTATTAAAATTGTCTAGGATATGATTGAACAATGTACTTAAGTGTTGCATCTTGAGTAGAAAGACCTTTTTGGAAACAGAATTGATAAGGATTTAAAATGCTGAACGTGTTAATATAATTTACTAGCCTGGTTTAAAATGCTTTTTCATAGGTCTTTGAAAATGCTGGTAATAATGATATGCCACGGTAATTTGCAAACTTTGTTTTTTCTCCTTTGTAATAAAGTGGTATTATAACTGCACTATTTAGGATCTAAGGAAATGAACCTTTTTGAAAGGACAAATTAATTAAAATAACCAAAGGGTTCCACGATATATTCCAATGCATGGAACCATAAACTATATGGAATTTCATCAATTCCGCAAGAGTTTTTTGAAGATATTGATGTTATAATTGTTTCTACCTCGGATTTTGTTACTGGATATAAAAACAATGAATCTCTACATGAACTTATGTTGTAGCTTTGTTTAAGTTTTCTATTGTTATTTTTGATAAAAGGTCTGATATTGAACCAGAGAAAAAATCCGCAAAAGGTTCAGCAATATCAGTCGGTTTTAAAATTCGTTTACCTTCATTATCTTTAAAATAGTTTGGGTAGTTATTTTTATTTGATTTTTTCCCATTTGCATTGTTATTTATTATATTCCAGGCACCTTTTGTTTTGTTGTTTGAATAAAACATTTGGGTATTCGCTGCCGTCATCACCAGAAGATTTGTAAAGATAAAAAAGATATCTTAAAAGGAAACCTTCATTTATAATTTCCGTAGTAATCCAAGGCTTTCCCTTATTTATATTAATATTTGATTTTTTATATGAATCTATTGGAAATGACTTTTCAAAAATATCCACAACTATATTGTAAAAGAGGCCAAACATTTTATCACATGATAAAGTATTTTCATTTAGAAAACTCCAGCTTTCATTTGCTAGCAAATAAAAGTAAAAATATTCTGAGCGTTAAAAACCTTACGTTTCAATGCATAAATGACATCAAAACTTTCCGAACCGGACTCGGTGTCATAAACAATTTGTTGTAAAAAATGATCACTGACATCGGTGCGTATAACATTGCATTTAAAAGTTTCTGTTTCTAAATTAGAAAAAATATTGTCAATTATTGACTATCTGATTTTTATACGTGTATATTCAAAAATACACTGATGTAAACCATAAGTTAAAAATATGTTTCTTAATCTTTTTGCATTAACATCGTGAATGTTTTCATCAATATATCAATATGTTAGTACACTTCTTTACTTTGATTATGTTATGGGTGTTCTAATATCGATGGCTAAGTGGAGAAATGTAAAATTGATTTAAAAGTTGGAGGTGATGATGACAAGATGTATTAGTATTAGATTAGTATAGATTCGAAAGGAGTTGGACATATTTTTTTTTCTGGTCAATTTTGGGACTTCGTTACTGAGAGTATGTTGTCTATCTTGGTCTTTTTTATTGGAATTAGTAGCTTTGACAGAGGGTCCTTCATGTACTTACCTTTTCTTCCCCTAGTATTAGAAACCTTAATCTAGCCAGGCCTTCACACTGATACAGAACGTGGATTGATGTTTCATATTTTTCTTCACAGAACATACACAATGTTGCTTCCTTTGTTGGATTGATGATACTTATGTGCCTCTTAGGTAAAAGTGTCTGGTAAGAAGACCTACTGTTATTTCAACGATTTGTCGTTTTTGATCCGGCAGGTCTTTTGTGAACTTGACCAATGGTTCCTTAATGAACTGTTTGGCTTGTCTCAATCTTGGATAGTTATTCCACCGTTTATGAGACTTGTTTACATCTAAGATCATAGAATCGTACATATCTCATTTTTGACAATATTTCATCGTTGTACAGTCAAAACCTCGTATCAATAAATTACCAGATTTTCAGGAAACACTAAAAACTTTTTTTTTTGTAGGTAATGGTTAATTTTGTAAAAGTAGCTTTTTTTATGTAATAGAAAAAGGTAAATCAAAAAGATGCCAAATTTAAAATTAATCTCTCTAAAAAAAGAAAAAAAATTACATTCAGTTAAGCCAAAATATGAATTACGAGGTTTTGACTCTACAACAACGATTTGTCCACTTAGCCATCAATATAGAATACAAAAATGTACTTGATTGTTTCTACAGTAATACATTCTCTTTAATACTTTTAGAAACAACTTGAAATTGATAAAAAACGGAAAGAAGAAGATAAGAAAAAGGCTGAATTGGCAAAACCTTCTTCTATATTTTCTTCACAAATAAGTCGCCATTCATCTGTAATCAAGCCACCTGGCTTAGACAGTGTCATCTATCCCGATTATTTAGGACAAGATATTCCGAGTGCGCCGCCTCCTACTACAACTATTTTAGAGTAAGTTATCATTAAAATATTCTAACAATATTATTAGTAGAGAAATTTTTTAGTGTTCCTGGTTACACACCAACCATAGATAGATCTGTCAAACCCATGGATGTGACAGCTCAAGGAAGATATGATACTAATGTTCTTAGGTCCGTCGTTGTACCAGTCCAGGTCATGACCCTCTTCCAAGCAATGGCCCAGTCAAATACATTCAAAAATATAGAAACCTGTGGTATCCTTGCTGGAGTATTAGTAATTAATTTTGTTTTCAATAAGCTGAGTCATCAAGTTTTACTGCTTAATTTTTTAGGAAAAAAATGAACTGATTATTACCCATATGATATTGCCTAAACAAAAAGGAACATCAGATTCTTGTATGACTACAAACGAGGAAGAGATTTTTGATTATCAAGATCAGCATAGTCTTATTACATTAGGATGGATTCACGTAAGTACATCAAGAAGGATGGGGTTAACTGGGCCCAGCTAGCACAAAAACATCCCATCTACGTTAATAAGCTGCAATTTTAGGCTCTTTAAGCTTGCATGCAATGTACTGTTAATGTAACCCTATCATCCCTGCAACCACCGAATGTCCGCAACGGCAAGACTTTTATAGCACATCTCACAGAGGTTACAAAATTAAAGTTCGGAAAACATCACACTAGCACTTTTACGGTACTTACCCCGAAAGTTGCTCTGAAACTTTCTATAGATGTTATAATGTGAATTCATTCCACAGCATTATACAGTGTGTCCACGGATGGACTTAACAATACTTGTAAAAATATTTATTTTAAATTTAAAAGAACTTCTTCATAATTTCTTTTGCTTGTTAAATAAATACGATTAACGTTGAGAAATTATGAAAAAGACCTCTTGAAAAATTTAAAATAAATATCTTTACAAGTATAGTTATGTCCATCCTTGGATACACTATATTCAAAATAGTATATTGAGGATATAGTAAAATCTGAAGAAAACAAAATAAAAAATTGTATAAATTTATTATTAAAAAGCTTTTGAAATCAAGAACCAATATCATACAAGTAGAGGTAGGTATTAATAATATAGGTAAAAAAACACTGACAAATTGGACAAAAGTTGGTATAAAGGGTATATAAGGAATATCTCAAAGGTTCACTAGAATCGAAAACACTGAACGCTTGCACGAAAGAATATAATAAGGTACCTATATTGCAAAGGTTCACTGGTAGCTAAAATGGTGCACGATTGTACAAAAGTAGTAAAAAGTGTATTTATATAAGGTATATTTCAAAGGTCACTAGATTTGTATTAAGATGGCAGTTGTAGGATGCTAAAAAAAGATATTTGCCTACAACTGGTACTAATCATAGTTTTAATATTATATAACTTGCTTAAACTGAATATTGATAAATGTAAAGTCATAAGGTTTAATAAAACAGCTAATATAATTATGCATGATTGTTATTGCAGGTTCTGAACTAAGTTTTGAGCAAACTATAAATGATCTTGATGTTATTTTTGAGAGGGATCTATAAGAGTTTGGAATGCAGATGTCGACAAGCATCATTTGTTTTCCTGTATAAGTTATTGAACGGTTTGATTGATAGTGACAGCCTGGTACACTTTATTAGATTCCTTGTTCCTGCCAGACTTACTAGGCATATGAAACTATTTTATGTAAATGCTCATAGAACTAAATATGGACAGAATTTATTTGTAGACCAACTGATGTCCAATTACAATAAGTATTTTTCAAATTATGACATTTTAAAAGGTTTATTTTTTAAAGTGTCAACTTTTATTACACTATTGACTTCATTTTTATACTGTGACAATTTTATTAATTTCTTTTTTATTTTATTTTGATATTTTAACTATTTAGAACTTTATGTATCAGTAGCGTACTGTAAACAAATAAATATGTGAACTTAATTACATAGTTTCTTCCGTAAAAATAACTTTGTAGATAATAAATTTACTTGTTTAATTATTATTAAGAAAATAATATATAAAGAAAATAAAAAATATGCTAGTTTAAATCGTTGCACCTATTTTTAGTTGATTTTTACTTACTTTGTTTTTTTAAATAAATAATAACATTTATTTTGACTTTTACAAATTTGATACTTAATAATGGATGTTCAACTTATACAGAACAATGTTTTTTAGCATGATATTCTGCTATGAAAGAAAAAGAAATAATCTCAGATGTTATATATTCTTCTTCAACCAATTCTGTATTAACTTTAGCTTCTAAAATTCCTGAGATTTTTACTAGAATTATAATAAGGAAACCTAAAACACAATATTTTTAAAATTTATTTTTAGTGATTAAAATATTATTACACTAGGGCGACCATACTTACAGCAATTTTTCTGTATTGTAAAGCATGTTTAAAGTTTGTCCAGCAATTGGTATTGTGCAGCAAACGTACAGCAAAATGGCATAGGTATATATATATATATATCCAGTGAAATGCTGTATTTATCCACCAAAACGTCACTACTGTCCAGCAATGGTAATACTTAATTTACTGAAACATAACAAATTTAAATGTTATTTATCTTTAGTGAACTACATGAGCACTTCTATACTGCTGTTCTAGCAAGAAAGGTTTTATCTGCAAAATTAGCAGTTTTTTTTATGTGCATTTGTCTAAAATGTTAAAAAGTTACACAAAAAAAGGTTTAAAAGATAATAAATATAAATTTTCAGATAGGACTTCTCTTGTTAGGATAGCAGTATATGACTTCTCTGTTTTTATATTTTTATAATTGGGAGTAGGGTTGAGTATCGGTCAAAGGTATCAATACCGGTATCATGTGAGATACTTTGTGGTAGAGGCATCGATATTATGTTAAAGATATTGATATTTATAAGTCTCGAGTAACGAAGTATCGAAAAAGTAAAAGATTTTTGTTAAACGGCTGGCAACCCCCATTCAACAGGACGGAGTAGGGAACTTAACTAATAACAAGAGTGCATCAGTAAAGTATATTCTGTAGTCGATACCTTTTCTTTCTCTACTGGTACTCTACCTGGTACAAGTTATAGTGTCAATAACTGGCAATTTACCTTAAAATTAAATAACAAAAAAACAGTGGTAACGCTTAATCATATTACCAAGTTTCACCACATGCAAAAACTAAAATATTTCAGTACAAATATTTGAACAAACCTTATAATCTCTGACCACACACATAGCGATACAATACTTGCTTCTAAGTATCACTATGGCGATAGTATTGGTAATTCAGTGCCTAAATATCGATACTTTCATAGTTTAATATCGTTTCTTCTATAGTATTAAGGCATCAATAAGATCCCTATTATCGTGTAAAATAAATATTTCATCATTTAATTGTATCTACTTGTTTACAATGATTTATTTTTTATTGTATTTGGAAATTGAAATTTTACCATCTAAAACAACAGACAATAAATTAGAAAATTAGAAAATTTATTGAAAAGAAGAAAACAACTTACCAAACTTATTCAAACGTATAGTTTCCAATTTCTTTAAAATCTCAAATACGTACAAAAAAAGTGACAAGTGACATTTTTTTATGTTTTGTTGGTTATGACAAACGAATGGCTACGTTCGAAAGTCCATAGTACTTCTCGTGGAAACTTTTTTAGCAAGTTACTTAATTACGTTGTGTTATCATAACAGGCAGGTTAAATACGTAAGTAACAAATAGATGTTTCGCGAGGTTTTGATTTCCCTCAACAACTTCTCATTAACGTTGCAATTACGTTGTATGGGTATGTTGTGTTCCCTTAAAACAACATCGCCGAAAGGCTTGGTAACGTTATGTGCTAGCTGGGGGGGAACTGTAAACAGTTTTGATAAAGTAAGGTTCTTGAATTGAAAAGTATTAAATATAAAGTTGTCATTTTAAATAGGCAGATATTCTAAGGTATATTCTACATAAATTTCAATTGACAGCTTAAAAAAATAAATTTAAAAAAAAATATTCATTGTTTACAATTCCCCAGATTTTTTTTCGTTTTTAAGAATTTTGGGGTGATGGTAAACAAAATTCGAGGTAAATGTTAACGAAATGATTCTTCTGTATTGACTCCTACATTCGAATAGGTGGGGTAATATTGAACAAATTATCATATTAAAATTAATTTGTCTCAGTTCAAGTCTTAATTTGGTTGTTGAAAATGAAAATTCTAAACAATAAAGCTGCCTACCTTTAATGTTATTATTTATTTGAAGCGAAATACAAACAGTTTTCAAATATATAGCAGGTAAATTTATACCTACGAACATGTAATAATATATCAAAATACATAATTATGGTTTCTTGAAGACGTCTATTGTTCCAGGAAAAGAATAAATCATTTTACGTTTTTCGAATTTAATTTCAGGCTGAGGAAGAATGGCTACAACCATGTCCATTTGTATGAAAGATTCATCACTCTCATTAATATAAAAATCAGAGCAAACTTCATTGAGCGCTCGCAATCGCACAATAGCAATTTCGTTATCTTCTTTATCTTTCTCTTTAATTACACAGACGTATTTGTAAGTAGTCACTTTTCTAGCCCCTCCAACAAATTTAACCAGAAGAAAAACATCTGTCTTAATCTCTTCCCATTTGACTTCTTTATAATTAACAGGCTTTGGTTGAACAAATGAGGAAAGTGGGAGCATGGCGTCATCAGAGTCATAGTTTGTCAAATGAATTAAGCTAGCAACACTTTCCTCACTATCTGATGAAATAGTATATTTATTTGGTTTCTGCTTCTTTGTTTTCGATATCTTCATCTGCTTAAAATTATCATCTTTTGTTTTCTTGGAACAGATATTTACTCGTTTTCCTTTGGTCTACTTAACTTTATTTTTCTCTTCGGCTTCTTTGAGCTTGTTCATTACTTCTTCCGTCGTTAAAACTTCTCCATATCTGGATTGTTTTAATCGTGGAATAACTTTTTTATTCTCAGTACCATGGAGAATTTTCAACACATTCATTCAATTTCTTGGAGAATAGATTAATGATACCATTGGGAGAAAGGTCTTTGGAATTTTTCTTTGCAGTCTGAACTCTTGTGGTAGCATCCTGGTGTTCTGATTCATGTAAATTAGAGTCACTTGTCAATATGGGTTTATCTAAGTTCATCTGGTCATTTGGGCTCGTCGAGGGTCTAGATAATGCCTCAGAAATGTGCCCCAGTTGATCATGTTGGCTTGAAGAGCCTCTAGGTAATTCATCAAAAATGCTTCCTAGTTCTTGGTTACTGGAAGTGCTTTGGTGTTCTCTATACTTTCGCAATAAATTTGAATCAAATTACTTTTCGGAAAATTTCAGAGAATCAACTGGAAAACCTCCAGTCGTTTCGAAGCCTGAAATTATGTTTTCGGGGGTCATGCCTTGTTCCCAAACTTTTTTAAACAATTCTGAGAACTTACGTCTGGTCAAACGTCCACAAGACTTTCTCATTTCAAATTTTCCATGTTCAACCAAGATTCTGTCCCATTTAATTTTGATAGGTCCGAATACGCATTTATCTAGTGGTTGTATCCTATCTGTTAGATGACTTGGGAACCTAAGTAATGAAATGTTGTGTTCAAACGCAGCATTCACTATCCGAACGCTGATACGGCTACTGTGGCCGTCGAATAACAAAGGAGCAGTCTGGTCAGGCACATCCCGTTCTTTTCGCACTCTGTTAACATTTGGTATGAACCATTGATAAAAGTGGTGCTCTTCCATCCACCCATTTTTAGATGCTCCATATATTGTACCAGGATACACATTTTCAGAAGTCTAACGGGCTTGGACAGCAGCTCCTTTAAACACAATAAATGGAGGTAAAAATGATCCATCTGCAGCAATGCATGCTAAGACAGTAGTAGATTCTCTCCCTGATCCTCCTGATACCCTAGACAATGGTACTCCCTTTTCACCTATAGCTCGAACTCTAGAAGGATCACTGTTGAAGCCAATTTCATTAGCATTAAATATAAAACATCCCTTATCGTCGCCAATCAGCCCACACTTTTGAACCAACTCACGTAGTTTTTCGTAAAAGTCATATACAACGAATGGATCTCTACCATTTTTTCTTATTTTCTGAAGATGTTCTGGCTTCTTGAAAGCTAAATTTGGATGTCGTTTCATAAAATTTGCATACCAATCATACCCAGGTATGTTATTTTTGAGCCCTTAGATGTCACATACTCTTCAACTAAAGAGCATAATTCTTTGCGATTACAAAGCCAACCCATGCGCGAACACGCTTTTAGGCAATTCTCAATCGCCATCTCAACATTTTCAGGCAACCTTCCTCCCCTTGATACGATGATAAATTACCGCAATGGGTACATTATAGGTAGCCTGGGCTTCTCTATAGCTTTTATTGTACTGCATTTATTAGATCTGCTTCAGAGTACCTCTGAGCAATAGGCTTTTTTCTTATATAATTTCGGACCATTTGTACCTGAAAATATATAAAAGTACATATTTATACATGTTCACATTTGCCCCAAGAGTTTGTTTACCTTTGCCCCTTCCTCAGAAAATTCTGGAGCAAATGTAAACACCTCCATTAAAATAGAGTGCATTATAACCTAAGATTTGTGCATGCATAAAAACGTTGAATATGCCCTTAACAATAACTATATGCCATGAAAATCAACTTACCAGTTGAAAAACTGTTCACATTGAATTTTTATTTGTAATTCACAATCAAAATAATGAAGTATTTCGTTTCTATATCATAAATGAACGGAAAAAAATGCAACAGGCCACACGGTTGACATGGGACTGAATAGAATATGCGTGGTGGCATCTTGCACTGTGTAGAAGGAAACTATAACCCGCCAAATTCAAAAGTTATTGGCGTGTTTACAATAACCCCTTGTTTACTATTACCCCAGTTGACCCTAATTATTTTTAATAAAATTGATTTTTTTTTTCAGACTCATCCAACTCAAACTGCGTTTCTTTCTAGTGTAGATCTACACACCCACTGTCCTTATCAGTTGTTAATGCCGGAAGCTATTGCCATTGTGTGTTCACCTAAATATAATGAGTAAGCAACATTTTTCTGCTTTGTTTTTTCCACATAAATTTCATTATCCCTAAATTATTGTTAATAATTTGTTACTTAAAATATTATCCATGTTCTCTAATGAGATCATCAATCAGAGTTCTTTAGAAAGAATCAAACCGAATAATAATTATTTGTTTCAACACTATCGCAGTTTTGCAGATTCCAACTGCTTCTGAAATTAATGTTAATGATTAACCTTTTCCTTTCTAATGGGAACAGAACATCATGTAATGGAACATTTCAAATAGATTCATATACATTTTCATACATTGGCAAAAATTAATCATTTAACAGAGATAACCTTAAAAGGCAATGTATTTAAATTATTATTAGTGAGATAATTTTGGCCGACATTTATATGCATTGATTATGCATTTATCTAGTTCTGAAATTTTTCATATCATATGATTTGACTACATTGCTTTAAAATATAAATCATAAAAATGACATGTGACAGGAATGTGTTAAACTTTCATAGCCAAACCTTGTTGGAAAAAAAACAATCAATTTAATATTACTCATTTTGTACATAAAAAATAACAACTAGACAGTCAATAAATGTAATTGCAGTTTTATGTAGCTATAGAAAAACTCTTTATATATGTTTCCAAAGGCATCTAAAATGTTTTGCAGAAATGGTTGATAATGTTTAATTATTCTTATTGCAGAACGGGTATTTTCAATTTGACTGCTAGCGGATTAAAGTTTATCGCTAATTGTCGTCAAACGGGATTTCATCCGCATCCCACAAATCCTCCACTGTTTGTTGTAAGTATAACTAAACTTTTAGATTTGACATTTTACAGTATGTAAGAAAAAATAAGAGTAAGATACCTCTAAATCTCTTTATAATAATTACTAAATCAAATACATCATACAGGTGTTAATCAAAATTTAATTTGTCTCAAAATTGTTGTGAGGAGTTTTCGCGGCACTTTAAAAACAGAGTTTTCTGCTTGTATCATCGTCGATGATATAATTCATCGATCAGTTATGTAATATGAGGTTTGTTCCAACAACGATCCAAACCAATCATTGGCACCAGGATTCTGCGTAGTATATAATTTGGGGTCCTAATGATTACTGCGCAGAATCCTGGTGGCAATGACTGGTTTCTGATCGTTGTTAGAGCAAACCTATGGTATCAGCTCCTGGACTAGGCGACTAGATTTTGTAATATAAAATTGTTCCATGCTCAATTTTGTTATCCCTCCCAAGATCCATTTCTGAGTACGCCACTGTCTTACGATGGAGCCTCCAGTCGGAGTCTTAGTGATCTGGAGCCGCTACTGGTAATATCTTACAAGGAAGGCCTTCTATGGGGAAGATACTGCCTTATGGAAAAAGCCATGTGCGGCCCCTCAAGATTACCTTTATTATTTCTGTATTGTTATTAAACTGATGTCTAATAATTATTAAATAATCAACCTTGTACATATTTGCAACTTAAAACAAATTGTTGACATAATTAAACAAAGGTTTATGTAAAGGGTGTTATTTAAATAATTAATTAAAAGTAGGAAAAATGTGAATTTATATAAAGCGTGACATGCCCCCTCTTTTCAAGCATCGTCCTGATTCCTTAAAAATGTCACTTTATAGTACATAACTGAAATAAAACATATTTACTTTAAGCTTAGAGTTGGAGTTGATGGAGTTTAATATGGAAGATTTAGTGACTCCAAAACTGAAACTCAAAAATACATTTTAAACACAATATTTTTTTTTAAACTAAATATTAGAAATATTATTTCCACATATCACGTTTCTTGCGAACAACTTTCCACACAAACGGTAAAAGACTTCATAGAACATCAACGAACGTCTCCACAAATCACCTATCTCGTCGTGAGTACTGTGATGAATCAACAAAGTCTTTCCAGCAGGAAGTTCATCTCATGACATCTAGGGAATGCTGATAGATAGGCAAACATATTGAATTTGTTTCTTTGAAACCATACTGACAATTAAGCACCCACCCCATCGTCCGTTATATCGGCAAACATTTCCTTGGCTTTCTGGGCATCTCTTGTATATTTATACATTTGCAGACAGCTGCGATGTACTACATACGCATTTTACGATACTGACCAGCGCATTTTATATGGGAAGTGTCAATGTTACAAGTCATAATAAGTTTTTTTTAACGTGATAACGTGATATATGGATAGTGGAAAGAAAGATGGACTATGACAAGAGTTTTGGTACTGGCGCGATTCATCATTCATCTACCTAGCTTCTGCAGTAGATATCATGGTCCATCCAAATATTCATTGTGTGGTGTCGCGCGATACATGGAACAAAAGAAAAATGTCATGTTGTGCATGTTCTTTAATAATTATGGGACTGTTTCCTGGTGGTTAAACAACAAAACATAAATTTGGACCTCAATCATGTAAGGAATCTATTGCCTTGAACTTGGCTTCGTAGCTTTTAACTATATAGTGGGTTTACTCAGGAATTAAAACCTCAAAAGGAAAGACAATGTTTTCATAAAACAACTATATAAAATAGGTCATAGCTCGACAAAAACAAATATGGGCTCAATGCAATAACAAATAGACAATAAAAATATCAATTTACCAACTCCAATAAACATATTGGGCATATATCACAACCCTTAACTATGCAAAATCGTAATTCAAAATATAGAAACTTTCAAAACTCTGCTGTGGAGTCTCAGTGATCTGGAATTGTTATTGGCAATTGCCTACAAGGGAGGCTCCTATGGGGAGGATCCTGCCCTGTGCCGTGCCCTTGTTATTAAACTAATGTTTAATAATTAAAGGGCTTATTGGAATAACATGATAAGCCACAACATTAATTTATTAAGCAAGCACGTCTTCAAAGGTTAAAATAAACTTCTATAACTACTACAACTTTGGTAAAATACAATAACTTGATTTTTAGGCTAATTATGGTATTTTTTGGATAATTTCGATTTGTTTCAAGCCTTTGTAACCTTATTTTTCATTGCAGTGAAGTAAAATTGTCTTTATTTTAAAAAGTGTGGCTTATAACGTTTTTACAATTATTAAATTATTAACAAATTGTGGACATAATTAAACAAAGTTTTATGAAAAATGTGAATTTATACGAAGGGTGACAATACATTACTATTTTATTAAAAATATATTATAATTAACGTAATAGTGATACAGGTCATATATAAATAATAAATTTTGATTTAACTGTTCCTATAATTCCCTCTAGGTTCATGAGCAATTTTCCTTGTAGCGTTGTTTCCATTTTACTTTTTGCAGAGAACTATCGTTCTCCTTTTAGCTGATAAATCTTGTAAATGGGTTTAAAGTAAATTATGTTATTGATTACTGCTGGGACACAAAAAAAAGTAGGCACGAGACAAGCTTTTACCTTTGTTCCCACAATTTACAATCATTCAAGTCACTGGTATGTTGGAAATACTTCTAAAACATATTAAAAATAAATCAGTCTATAATGCAATGTATTTTCTTTTTACTACACTCCTTTTTAGCCTTTTTTCTTCTAGTTCTCTATTTCCAATGTCCTCAAATAAAACACGCAACTCTAGTTAATATGTAACATGGAAGAAAATGTACACACTAGTATTTGTGGTATTTTTGATCTAATTCTAAATTAAAAGTGAAAAAATTGAATTTTTTTATTATTTTTGTTGAAAAAATATTTCGAATAAAATGTGTGTGTGTAAAATGTTTATCTTTAATTTGTATTTTGATTAGAATGTGCTGTACTCAATGTATTTAACAACTTTACAGGAAACTCATGCGTTGGACACAGATATTTTGAAATTTTTATGATTTAGTTTTTATATCTATTTTGACTCTAAAACAAAATTTATTTTATTTTATGAGATTTTAGAATAAGAAACACATTTTACTAGTATTTTTTATTACTTAAAAAAAATATTGTGAACTGGATCCAGGGGTACATTACCTTACCTTACCTTTTTTGGAATATTGGAATAGTAGGCGAGCGGCACACATATAGCAAAGGCACAAATTAAGCGGTAGCGAGCGAATTTATTACTTCGTTGGCGGTACATCGAGCTCTCTTGGTTCTTCGAAAAGCTCCAAAGCATGAACCGTTTAGGTGGGGCAAAGTGTCAAAAATAGATAACGCGAATTTAAATTAAGAAATTAATAAAGTAAATAAATCCATTCTCGAACACATTGTGGGTTTAATAATATTTTTTTAGAAACACTTTATACTTATATGTTTTGAATCTTTGTAGGAAGCTGACCACGTGAGGATAGAAAACAAGGCACCACTTGAAGTTTTGGATCTTCGCAATAAGTAAGATTGAATTTTATACACATTATCCAAAGAGAGCTTTTTATTTAGAATTAAATATGTCGAGAGCTTTTTTATATTTTGTAAGATTTATATGTAATTTATTATAAAATATATTATGTACCTAAATGTTAATATATAATCTAAAGTAACAGCTGTGATGGAATATATTTGTCAATCGAATTGCTTTTTAGTACATTTGAATAAAATATATATTATTTTTTTGTTTTTGATGTATTTTTTCTGTACTGTAAATGTGAAAAAAATATAGTACGTACGTTTTTATCAGAATAAGTAATCTTTAATTAAATTAAAGTCTAGTTATTCTCACCCTTTGTAATTGCGGGTCTTCTAACATATATCAACAACATAAAATTACCTACCTATATGTTATTATAAAAAATATTATAATTTATAATAAGTTGTAACGTGATACTTGATATTTTATCTATTTGTTATAGTGTTTTAAGCTCAATTGATTTTGGGAGTGGGTCAGGTTATTAAATAACTCGAATTACCTTGAAAAAGAAGTTGGGCACCACTATATTTAAAACTTACTATACTTGACTATAAATTAGTGATAAAAATATAGAAAATCACTAACCATTAAGATATTATATTTAAACCAAGTTTTAGATAAGGTATTAAATTCTAATTCACAGAGATTCAATTTTAGATGATTTATTAAAAAAAAACTTATCTGTTGTAACAGGAGGTAGTTAGATTAGGAGTGTGATTGCACGGTATACTAGGCCTTCTTCTAAGGGATTCGGGATCCTTATTCTTAATTCTGAACTTGAACGATCTTCTATAGGTGAACCAAACCTCGGTCTTCGGATGGCACCAAACTCTTTTAGATATAACTTGAAATAAACCGTCTAGATATAGCCATGCTAAAAGGAAGAAGGTAAAAATGTTAAGAAAGGAAATAGGAAATTTGTACAGGACCCAGATAAAATGCCTTTAACTAACAACAATGTTATCTATATGTTAATGTCACAATGTTAATCTCGTAATGTTAATTTTACAACTACTTAAAAAGATCTTCATAGTCTTGTTTGCTGGAAGAAAATTAATCAACTATATAGCCAGGGGCGGTTTCTGTATTGGTTTATTTGTACAGTAAACACCCAGTTAAAATTCATAAGAGCACATTATTTTAAAATCACATATAAATAACTTAATAATATAAATTCACTTTAATATATTTATTATTTTCGTACATATTAATCTCTACTTTTTTTGGTACCCCACTGCGCTCAGGCCGATCGCACCTATCGGTTCAATATGTCTAGTGAACGCGAGAGGTGTCTCAGAATGAATGTTAAAAAGACAAGTTAATAGATCCGTGAAACAGCAAGTGTGCCTACTTGAAACCACGCTATTTTTAGCATCATTTTGTGCATCGCACGTAGATTACGTCACGACATTTAACTTCGCTTGGTCCAACGATTAGTTATTGTGCTTGGTAAAGGTCACTCTTATTGGGAGTCTTTAATTCAGCGTTGCCTCATTTGGTAGATTTCTACTTTTTTGGTAGATTTCTGCTATTTTGGTAGGTTTTCAGCCATTTTGACTAGTTTTAGTAGACAATTTTCTTTTGGTAGATTTCTATAGATTAATAAAACAAAAAGCAATTACTCAAATAAAACTTCCTATTTAAATAATTTTGTTGCCAAAATGGATTGCTAAAAACGTTAGGGCCGGGCGATCATAAAAATAAATAATCAGTTATTTTCGACCAGTAGATTACTTAAAAATAATCGATTCTTTTTGATTTATCGATTATTTAGATTCTTTTCGATTTTTTAGATTCTTCTCGATTATTTTCGATTCATTTCTATTCTTTTCGATTCTATTTAATTCATTTCGATTTTTTTCGATATAGTAGCTTTTGTATAGACACGTAAATTTAATCAAGAATTACTTCACTAAAAAAGCAAATATTTGTGCGAGGTATAAAAATCATATTTCAGAATTTACTGGCAGTTCTTAGTCCTCTCTAAAAACTAACCAAAACAACAGGGAAAATTTTTGGTTTTTTAGATTTACAAGTTCTTCGAAAATGTCACTAGTTTCAGATGAAATAAAAACGGTAGTTTCTGCGCTTGTACCATTTCTAGTAATGGATCATCTAAGTGATGGTATTAAGCAACCTTTTCATGACTCAGGAATCTTATAAAAAATCGGAATTTAATTGTATTAAAACGGACGATGCCAAAGAAGTTTTGAGGGATATTATTGGCTCTTGTACCAAGTTTTACAAATGCTAAAATTATTGGAAAAAATTGAACCTCCATTTTAAATTACCACAAGCCGCCACTGTCTATAGCAATTGTTTCTGTTTAAAAGATCGTGACCAAAAAGCCTAGGTTTATTGATATGACAACTCTTAGCTTCTGGCAGAAAACTCTTTCTCCTGCTCCTTGTTCAGTTTTTGAGCCGTCCATGTACAGCGCATAGTCCGACTGGGAGAGTTTTATCCCCCCTCCTGCTCCATACGTCTTTCTCTAGAATAAGGATGCTATATGACTTTTCTATGTTCTGTCGGGGAACTAGTGAGTCTGAGATCATGCCGAGGATGTGTGGTGGTTATTATTTTCACTCATCAGCCCCGTCTTGTCCCATCGTAGTTATTCATTGTATTGACTACCCATCTTCAGGAGTCTATATGAGACCATCTAGCAAAATGTGGAGAGGGGTTGACATTGCACCAATGATGGCGAGGCACGCAAGCCGCTGGATTCTAGCCAGCTTTGCTCTACCGTCCGTTGAAGTTGCTTGTCCCACCAGACGACTGAGGCGTACGTAACCATGGGTTTTACCACTGTTTGGTAAATCCAGTAGATCAGTTGAGGACTGATCCTCCATGCTTTGCCGAATATCCTTCTGAGGGTCCAGAGGGATAATCTCGCTTTGTTGATAGTTTTTCCAGTGGGGTGTTCTCGAGGTGTGTTTCTTATCTAGGATAATCCCCAGATATTTCACCTCCTCCGCAAAAGGAATAGTTTCCCTGGCTAATGTAGGTTGTCGAAGCTTGTCGAGTTTTCTTCTCTTGGTGAAGAGGACGATAACAGTTTTCCGGGGGTTAACAGATATCTGTTCCCTCTCGCATCATCTGTTGATCGTATTTAGGGATTGTTAAAGGATGTTGGAGATCACCTCCTCGTACTTTCCCCTCATTATGATAACCAGATCGTCCGCATATCTACCCCTGCCGAGGGACATCATCCAGAAGGTTATCCACTAGAATGGCCCACAGTAGGTGTGAAAGTACGTCGCCTTGTGAACATCCTCTGGCAGACCTGAAAGTGACTCACTTTCCCTGCAGTGATGAAATGACGTTCCGGTTTAAAAGCATGCGTTTGATCCAGTTACAGTTCAGTTTATCGATTCCTCTTCTTTCAATAGAAGCGAAAAGAGGCTGCGGAAGGGCGTTATTTAACGCGCCTTCTATGTCTAGAAAGACTCCCAGCGCAATCTCCCCGTATTTTAGGAAATTATCGACTTTGCCTACTAGATTGTGCATGATCTGTCGATTTGTCTGCTTGGAAGGCCTATTTGGAGCAGTTTAACGGGCATGCCCAAAGGCGTCCTTCTCAAATATGCCTATCTAGAATTCTCTTTAATGTTTTCAAAAGAAAGGATGTTAGACAGTTTGGACGGTAGGAGCTTAGTACTCTAATAGCCTTAATAGCCATCGTCTAATTCATAGAGGAGATCCACTGGATAGTTTGTGTATTGATAGTTTTGGCAAATTAGTAGATCTTTTGTTTAAAATTGCTACAGTTTGTAATTGTAGATTAGCGTCTTATTTATGTATAAGTTCAAAGTTTGAGAAGAATTCTGCTTTCTTGCAAAGAACATTGTAATTAAAGCCAATCTTCCAAATAAAAAACAAATTAAAAAAAAAACGAAATTTTTCATTAATTATTATTTTATTTATTATAAATTTAATGAGGTATTTTTACAAAATAAACAATATACAACAAACTATCACAGAATAATGGGATTATTTGTTTCCATTCAATGAAATTATATGGCAATTAAAAATGAATCAAAACAATATTCACTAAATTATTTTATTCCCTGATTAATAGAAAATGTTCAAGAATTTAAATTATGTACACAATTACTTAATTTTACTCTTAATGAAATAGTTTCTTTGATATATTTTTAAACATTTACAACGTTTCCTATAAAAAATTGGCACAGCTTAATTGATTATTAAACATAAAACGCTAAAGTGTAATTGCTAAATCCTCTTTTGAATTAATATGTCAGGTGTTAGGTAACATTTTTTGTGCATTAAGATATATTGAAAAAAAAAACAGAGTTAACAGTCGAATACAGATACGGAAAGCTGAAAGCGGATCCTTTATTTTACAATGAATTGAAGAAGGTATAATACGACCACACATGAAACAAACAAAGACCACTGAGCAGCGCATTATCTATTTGGTTTGGATGGCCCGCGTTTCAATTTACGAATCTGTATAATAAAAATGTATTACCTAGCTATAAAAATGTTATGTCATTCAGAATGTCTTGAAATTATCCAAATTATTGTCCACAGTTATTCTTTATAAAGTAGTTTCAAAACATTATCGTGACCATTACAAGAATCCATATACAAGAATACAATCACTTTTTTAAATACAAGGCGAGTCATGACAAACTGTACTCGTACTATCTATATAGGGTGGGTCACAAAAAACTTTTCACTTGGTTATTTTGTATTTATGAGGGGGAAACTTTTTTTATATTACACCATCGCGCATCGAGCAGTCAGAAATAATGCAAACAATGACTAATTTTCAGACTGTTGCAAGTTCAATAAGGAGATATATAAATTAATATTATGTGGTGCATTGAATTAGTAATAAAATTAGCTTTCAAATAAAGTGTCACACTCAATAATAAAAAAAAAGTTTTTTTCAAAGCTACAGTACGTTAAAATCAAAAGTAACTCAATGAATAGTCTTATTGCCGAATTTTCCATAAAATTAGGGGTTGTTTAACCCACTGCCCGACTGTTGAAGTGCCGATGCTACAAATAGAAAAAAGTCGCCCCCTATATACTAAAATCGACCAGTCAGGGGTTTGTGTTTCTTACATCAATACGAAAAAACCTGACCGGAAAGTTTTCGGTCTTTTTTTAAACAGTAATTTCGTTTATTTGTTTGCGAAGTAATTGAAGTTCCGTTTAAAAACAATAATGCAAATCAAGTTTATAAAAAATTGGTTGCCACCTCTCATCCAGCCACAACCATCCTCGTAGTTAGATGGTAGTAGTATGTACAGCTTCTAATGATTCACTAGATACAGGATGTTTCATAAGTTGACTTTTTTTAAAGACAGATTTTCATAAAACAAAAATTGGAGAGATGTGACTTTTTAAGTTTTAAGTACGGAGCTGCTTCGTTTGGTAATTATCATTTAAGGATTTACATGGTTTGCAGTGCATCTTAGCATTTTTTCTTCTTCTAAAAACTTTATTTGTGAATCTCTCTCAATTATGAAAATAACGAATTTATTATTAGTGGACCGGTAATGAGGAAATGCGACTCCTTCATCTAGGCACAGGTACATACCCAAAATAGTAAGAAATTAATTTTCTATTTCTTACGTTATTCTGGATCATCAAATCTGGTTTGTCTCTATCAAAATAAAGACATTTAAAATATAGACTCAACTTTTGAAACATCCTGTATTGCTCTGAGTTAAGCGAAATCCACATTGTATTTTTCAATATAAAACTCAATCACAATTTATAAGAAGAAGAAAAAGAAAAACACGACTAAAAATCTATTAATATAGCTATAAGTAATTAGAAAACTAAATAAATTAACCTGAAACGCGATGCAACTAAATATATACATTGAATGATATTGAAAGAAAACAATTACAAATAGTACATTAACACTAATAGGAGATGGTATGCTCTTATCTTGACGAAGTTCAACAAACTTTACCAAGGTGTAATTATTGTTATGCTCTTTGGTTTGATGTAGCGATTGAAGCCTTTTCTATATCTGAAAACAATAAATCTATTATGAGTACATAATATTATAATCTTGGACAAAATTAATATATTATTGCGTTAATTTTGTTAAGGGATATATGTATACAAGTTTTATTATAAAAAAAAATATTAAAGCAATTTTTGTAAAACTACGAAGGCTATACAAAAAGGTCATGCAAAAATAATGGAAATATGTTTTTCTGAAATAATCATTCTTAACTTTCTACAATTAAATGATGTAGTAGTTTCAACTGGAAGATCAATATCGTGAGCTTACTGCTAAAAATGACCAAGTCAAATTTTATATAATTTGACTTAATATTAACAAATATCTTGGTAAAGTCAGATCTACTAAATAAAAAATGGCTAAGTCATATTGATTCAGTTTATTTAGTACTTTCAAGCAGTGTAAATATGACTTGGGTGACTTTTTTTTGTAGATCTGTCTTTAATAAGTGACTCGGTCATATTAACTCAAATCATATAAAATTTGACTTGGTCACTTTTGGCAGTAAGCCCACGATATAAACTACCCAAAATGAAAATGGAGCAACTCCTTTCTTTTCTTAAGACTTTTCGCGTGCAGGGGTGGGAATCTGGGATGGCATTTTCACAATACAAATGTGTTTTATTAGAATAAAAAAATCGATATATTCACTAGATCATGTTACCATACAGTAGTCAGCAAGGGAGATATTTGAGGTTCGCGTTTTATAAAGAAAAAAAGCAGGACTATACAGGGTGAGGTACCGGAAACAAAACAAATCCAATATTTTGAAGGAGACATTGTTGTAAATACATACAAAATTTGGGATGGATGGGTTTAATAACATGCCGTTTTATGATCCGTTATTTGCATTGTTGAGTAATCCGGCATTTTTTCAATAATATTGGTCACTTTGGTTTTTTTTTGCAAAACCCTGTGTGTAGATATATTATTTCATTTTTGATTTTACTCTCCAATCCCAGTTCAACGATATGCCCGACTTGAGATTTTATGATTTGTTTATTTCATTTTTTATTTAATTTTTTAATTTAAGTTTTTAGTTAAATTTTGTATTTCATTTTTTATTTAATTTGTTATTTAAATTTTAATATTTATATCTAGCAATTTTTTAACTTTTTAAATGGGGTCTATCAAAATCAAAACGCATTGGCAACATTGTCAATAACATACCCACAAGGCAGCTGTTTGCATTGAACTAGAGACAATAATCTATTTAAATAAAAAAAATCTAACTAGCCTATCTCAACATAACAGTGGTAGATTTTCAAAACATAATAAAGCCTTTATTAACAGATATTTAAAAATTATATATATTTATATGTATTCCAGGAAAGCCCTAATCTTAATCAGTTTTCAAAAAAACAGCATGGATATCTTAAACACAATACATTTTCCTTTCTGTTTTCAGAAAAATAAATATTTAGTAATAGATTTGAATATATGCTAAATTATATTGTCTGTAATTGTTGAAACATATCAATACTTTTTACGAATATTTAAGATGGCAATAAAAAGAAAACCTGGACTGACTTTATATTGCATTTAAAATCAAAATGGTCAATATTTTAAAAAACTGTCAATATGGTAATAGCTTCAAATCTCAAATTTTGTATATTTCTGAGAATTGAAATTTTAAAAAGACCAGATAATTGACTGTACAATGAGAAAACACAAATAGTAACATCAGTGTGAAAGAGCTCATATTAATAAATATTGTAATTCACGGTCATGGTCCAGGATATCACTCTTTTCAAAGTGGCTTGACCGTCATGGGTAGTTGCATTTCCTCTGCATAAACTTGCGCGCACACACATAATATGAGACCTTCAGTTTTAGGTCTGATCCTACAACTAAATTAAAGGGATTATAATTATACTACCTTTTGGGGTCTATTCTGTAACAATTCCTTTATATTTAACGGCCTTTAAAAATATTGGCGACCTTTAAAAATATGTTTGTATTCGTTAATTTACTTCGGTCATTATTTAAACAGATTTCTTTAAGTTAGTCCTCTAATGTATTTTACGACAGAAGTAAAGAAGAAAATATTTTTAAAGGCCGTTAAATATAAAGGAATTGTTACAGAATAGACCCCTTTAGTGGTTTAACATTTTCTTTTGAGGAAATCTCAGATCACACGCAAGGTTCTACATTATCGAGCCGACATAACACAAAACGATATAATTTTATTATATAAAGCAGGTTATATGATATTTATCTAGGTGTTCTATTCTATCCAACTATTCAATACTAGTATGCATGCAAAAAAAATCAGTTCATAACTTACGATCCTAACCAAAATAAATTTCATTTTTTATGAAAGACATTTGTCGTGGTTCGTCCGAATCGACATCTAGAAAAATTTTGGTTACTTTAAAATAAAAAATATTCAGTTAAAAAAGCTACATCTACTTTCATTAGGTATAGGAAGGGATAAGTATAATTATCTGCGCTAATGCACATACGTGGCTAAATCCACAAGTATTCTCGACGAAAAATTGACAGCCGATTACAAGAACATTCATTAAAATACACCCACTAGACCAGAGATACCCCTAACCTTTTATGTAACCAGAGGATTTCTGCATAGAAAATAAAAGGAGACGCTCATCTATTAAATGGCCAATCATATCACCTGATCTTCCTCTGAGCTTTATAATTGCAAATAATAAAAATAAATAAAAAACACATGTAAAAATTTAATTTTTAACTAAACATTCTCCGTGCACTTCAGTTAATTCTACTACCGAACAGATAAATTAAAGTAATCAATCTTTCAATGAAAAGAAATATATGTTTGTCAAAATATAAATTACTTAATAACACCATTCGCGACTTCATCAATTAGAAAATTGATGGATTAGTTACTGAACATATGCGACTATTGAATTGATTAATTCAATGTTCTATAATTTTAGAATTTTTCTAAAGAAAAAATAAAGTGCTCATCACTAACAATAATTAGCAAGAAAATTGTTTGTTTTTCAGTAGACCAGACACGGAAAATATTTTTTTAATAATACAATTCCGCAAAGAAATAATTAAATTATTTTTAAAAGAAAGATTAAGATGTTAATATAGATTCTTTTTGGAGAAAATAACTCAATTGAAAGATATACAGGGGCGTGCGGTCCATGGAAGCGGGGGAAGCACCGCTTCCCTACACTTTGAGATTTAAAAATAGATATTTTTCAGTTTACAATGCGTAGAAATTAATATTAAATTAGGTACTATATTTTCTCTGAAACATTACGTAAACTTCGTAAATGTACTAGCAATTCATTGGTGTAATCTGTAAACGCACGCACCACCCATGAGAAAATTAATTGTGTAAACGAACACACCATAGACTTCGAGTCCGTCGGTGGAAGAGCGTCTTGAAAGTGCCGGTTCATCTTCCAAGAGGTTTCGCTTCGTGTTATTGACCCTGCTTTGCCGCGACAATAGTCTGGGAACGTGAAATATGGTCGAGAGGCAGCAATTTTTACGTCGCCTTACGCATATTGCAATTCGCACCGCGAATCGACATGTGAGGAAAATCGTAGATTTCGGTTTGTTTTTCGTACTTGTTTTTCTTTTTGTAAAATGAAGGAACTATACAATGTCTCTGTAAACAATAATAATGTGGTAAATTGTGTCTGTATTGTGTGTTCTTTGTTGAAAAAAGGATTTTCAAGTAAACATTTTGAAGAGAAAACGAACATTATTAATTCTAGTAGACTAAAGGATCCTATCAATTTAGAGACGAAAGTAGAAAAGTCAGCAAAGAAATTTACCAGACATTTTCACGTATGAAAAGTATGAATGGTTAACCGGCTGCAAAACTTTGAAGAAATTGTTTTGCTGGCCTTGCCTACTTTTTAATATAGCCGAAAAACACATTGGTACTCACTCGGTATTACAGACTTGAATAATTTTCACAAAAGTGTAAAATCACATGTAAATAGCAAATCTCATATAAGTGCTGCAATTAAAGAAAAAACATTCGGGACCTATCGCATTGAACATACTTAGTTTGGTTAATCATTTAGGGGTCACAATGAAGGAAGTGGATCTGCCAATCGAGAAAATTACATGGACCTAAGTTTTTTAGCAAAATACGATGATAACCTAAAAAATAATTTTATTGATTCGACGACTTTCCGAGGTACCTCAAACACTTAGATAAAAGAGACCGGAGATGTAACATTGCACATTGCGCACATTGTCTTTTCCAACCCTAAGTAACCCACCAATTAAAAAACATTGTGTTCACGACTCCACCCGAATTGCTCCGAAATTTCTATTCTATGCGTGAGTAAATCATTTATGGACCGCCGTTTTTGAATTATTTGTTGGTGTTATTAGCAATTTAAAGTGTTTTAGTTATTCAATTTTAAGTTGAAAATGCCACGATATATGGTGAAAAATTGTATATCCAAATAATATAAGTGTCAATGTTATGAAAAATAAGAAATATATTCGTTTTCAGCGGTAATATTTGTTGACGTTTTGACATAAAGTTGCCATGATTCTTTGAGCTGAATACTTCAGATCCGCATTAAGGGGTTTCAATAAATATTAACATCAAATACATAATATTTCAGAAAATAGATTTCATAATGCATTAATTTACAAAAGAGTAAAATTTTAAACATTCAATCTAAATGAAAAGTAAATAGGCATTGTTACTAACTAAATTTTGTTTTTAAAAAGTAGTTTTATAAGAATATTTACTAAAGGTGGTTTCTAGCCCTTTATTAGGTATTTTTACAAGAATATTAGATGAAATACAGGTTCACCTGCTTAAAATTTCAAGGTTCATTTTATTTGCGGTTAAATCGGAAGTGACATTTGAATCTTAAATCTTAAAACAAAGCAAAACGCGCAATATGATCTAGTATAAGCAAAAAAATACTAAAGTTACGGAAATTAGTCATATTATTAGTAAAATGTTACATTATAAACCCCTAAACAACTCGAAAAAAAATCTTCGTTTACTAAAAAAATCTAAATTCTAGCAATATTTATTATACAATCGAATGCGGTTTAAAAGATAACAGGATCAATAAATCCGAATCTCTAAATTTTGGAGCTAAATGCCCGGATGAAAGCATGCGACCGATAGAGTTACAAAAATAATCGATTTATCGTTTTCATGAAAATCGATTTATCCGTTATAATTAATCGATTATTTTTGATTAATCGAACATTTTCAATAAATTGCTTTTGTTTTTTTAGGTAATGGAATATTCGATTATAAAGGAATTACAAAAAGAGAGTAGATTTATTCAAAATATTCGATGAAAATAATCGATTTTTTTAGAAAAATCGATTTATTTTTTAATCGATTTTTTTAAATTAATCGATTATTTTCGATTCATCAATTATTTTCAATTTTTCAAAGGTATTCGAATAATTTGTTTTAAAATACAAAAAATAGATTATATAAAAATAATCGATTGATCGAATATAATCGGTTATATTATATAATCGATATTTCGGTCATTTTTTAGAATTGTCGATTTATCGGTAAATCAGCTTTTTATTAATAGATTATTTTCGATTTTTCAAAGAAAATTAAATAATCAATTTTAAAAGGAATATGAAAAAAGAAGAGGATTATTTGTAAATAAAAAATTATTCAGTTATTTTTTTTTTTTGGAAAATCGATTTATCGTAGAATCGGCTTCTTTATTAATTGGTTATTTTCGCTTAATCGGTTATTTTCGATTAACCGAATATTTTCGATTAATCGATTATTTTTAATTTTTCAAAGGTATTCGAATAATCTGTTTTAAAAGAAATGCGAAAAAATAGATTATATGAAAATAATCGATTGATCGAATATAATCGGTTAGGTATTTTATATAATAGATATTTCGGTTATTTTTTAGAATTATCGATTTATCGGTCAATTAGCTTTTTATTAATCGATTATTTTCGCTTTTTCAAAGATAAACTAATAATCAATTTTAAATAAATATGAAAACAAAAGGATTATTTGACAATAATCGATAATTCAGTTATTTTTTTGGAAAATAAATTTATCGTAGAATCGGCTTCTTAATTAATTGGTTATTTTCCCTTAATCGATTATTTTCGATGCTTCGAAAATGATCGAATAATTGATTTTAAAGGAAATAATTCTTTTTTTTTTTAAAAATCGATTTAACGATTATTCGACTTTTTATCGATTATTTTTGATTAATCGATTATTTTAGATTTTTCAAAGATTATCCAACAATCTGTTTCAATGGAAATACGAAAAAAAAATGGATTACATATTTAAAAATAATCGATTATTTAAAATAAACGATAATTCGTTTATTATTTTTTTTAAACACTGATTTATCGGTTAATTGGCTTTTTAATTAATCTATTATTTTTGATTTTTTAAAGATAATCAAGTAGTCCATTTTAAAGAAAATACGAACAAAAATAAATTGTTTGAAAATAATCGATTGATCGAAAATAATCGATTATTATTAAAATAATCGCTTATTATTAATGATCAATAATTTATTTCGATAATCACCCACTCCTAGCGACCAAATGACTTAATAGGTTTAAATTTTAAAATATTATCTGGTTTCAGACATATGCATTTCTAAAGTTTTATGTAACTCATCCTCTATATTAATTAATATTCCTAAAGAAACAAGCTTTAATATATCTTTTTCTGAGGTTATAATACAAAACATTTTCTCATTTTGACTAATTTTTAATATTATGTGATAGTCGTAGAAAAAATATAATGTTCAACTCACAAGGTTTGATTTGCAGTATTCGCCTGCGCACATGCTTTTTTAATAATACTCTTAGACAATGGTGGTGGGTGAGGTTTTCCTCACCTGTAAGTCAAATGGCACCATCAATCATCTTTAAGTCGCCCCGGAGCGCCACGGCAAATAATAATAATAGCCGTCCCTTCCCCTACACAAGTCGTTCAGTCATCTTCAGGAGTTGAAATTCACTCGTAAGGGGGTGAATTAGGGAGATTATTATTATTTTAATGATTACCATTTCTTACTCGATTAACAATATTCTATTTCAACATTTTACTGTAGTCTCTTACAGAAAAGTCCGTAGTAAATAATAGTTAACGAACTATTCCATAAAAGGTCTTCTCTTTACATAAAATGTCGTTGCATCTGTTTGATATTAAAAAATCACGTTAAATTTATTTCATAATACAAAATTCCATTAAACGTATATTTTAAATAAATCTAATAGTTCATTATGATGCTAATAAACAGAGTTCGGTCCCTGTCACAGAGTTCGGGTCCCTGCCCAGTTCCCCCACTCCGTTAACCTATCTTCAGAAATTGGCAACATTTGCGCAGGTTAAACACCAGTGTATGTTATATCTCT